TGAGGTCCATTTCCCTTCTCTATCTTCCCACCTTTGACATACCACAGCCCAATGGAGACATCCATAACCTAGACCTAATGGCAATTTCACTTGTTCCATGGCCTTGAAAGCAGGTTGGGGTTCTTTCAGTTTGGTTTTGGAGGGCTTGGCATGGTCAATTGGTTCATTTTTTAATTATCATAAACAGTAAGACTTCAGGAGGGAAACAGAGACACCGTTCCTTCATATCTTGATTAAAATACAGATATTTCCAAATTTGCTCAATACTTTTGTGTATCACCTCTAATCCAATTTAAATAAAATAATATTGCTCATTTCTGACATCTTTAATACTGCATGCACTTTTAAAATTTTGGGATCTTCTCTAAGAACTTCAGGATAAGAAAAGGCATTCCAGAAAACAGAAAATTCAGCAAGCCCTCCAAGCTGGGTTATTCTGGAAATAGGTGAAAAGAGGAGGAGTACAAAGGCTATGTACTCTGCTCCTAGGACTCCTTTGCCAAGTTATGAGTGATGTCTTGCTGGGTCAAACATGAGAAGATCTTTGAAGAGAGTATAGCACATTACTGATGTATATTATGTGACTTTTAGTCAGGCAACATTTAATAATCAGCCTTCCTTCCTTCCTTCCTTCCTTCCTTCCTTCCTTCCTTCCGCCACTTCCTTCCTTCCTTCCGCCACTTCCTTCCTTCCTTTCTTCCTTCCTTCCTTCCTTCCTTCCTTCCTTCCGCCACTTCCTTCCTTCCTTCCGCCACTTCCTTCCGCCACTTCCTTCCTTCCTTCCGCCACTTCCTTCCGCCACTTCCTTCCTTCCTTCCTTCCTTCCTTCCTGTGGAAGGTTGGAATGGGATGATCTTTAAGTTCCCTTTCAACCCAGGCCAGTCTTTGATTACTGAGAAGTTGCTCTTCCATGTAACCTCCATTTTAAACTTCTCCTTTTGCTCCCGTGGTGAAAATAGCTCACAGTCTGTTTCTGTACCTTCATAGCAATCTTTTGCTTTGGTATTCTATCTTTCCCTTGGGAAAGGGACAAACACTTTAGGCATCTGAAAGGAGCTGCCAAAAGAAAGCAGATTTTCATTTCATTCTGGTAGGTCAAGGCAAGTCTGTGGGGGTGACAAAATGTTTTCCCACAGAGAGCTGGCTATTAATGTAATGTCAGGCTTTAAGTATGTTTGTGATAGTCTGGGTATTAGAGGAATTATCTGAGCACAACATCCCCGCTCCTCCTATGTCAGCAGTCTTTTCATTCTGTGCTAGGGACTGATCAAGCAAGGAAATGAAAACAGCCCAATAAAGCTAGAAAACCTGTGGAGCTGCAGATATGGATGCAATATAAATGACCTAAATTGTGAATCTCTTAGATTTCTACCCTGTCAATGGCCTATTTCTTTTTAAATGACCTAACCTGATGTTTCCCTTGTATGGCTATATTAATTTATAGAAACCTTGATTATCAAAATTAAATAAATTGTCATCTTTCTCTGGGTTTCATCACACTAATAGAGTATTTGCCTTTATATAATTTAAAGTATTTTAAAATCATATTGTATTATTTTATCATAAAGTTCATAAGTAGTGTCATAAAACTAGAGTTTAGAAAATAACATGCAACTGATTTTATTTGTTTCAACGGAGTAATCTCATTTCTTTTTAATTTTGCATTATTTCCTTAGGTGATTAATTTCTTTGCTGCAAGGTGTCCATGACCTGTGAGTATTCACAACTTGCAGTAGATAGTAGTAAACTGTTAGTAACAGTGGCTAATGCTCACTCTTTTCCTGAGTAGATCTTACCATTTCACCAGTTTAGTCATGTAGCAAACCAACCAAATCCAACTTTCAAGAGTTCCTATCAATCCACAAAAGAAATTAAAGTGAGAAACAAATTTTAGGATTATGCAAAAAATTAAAAAAAATGCAACTAAGACTGCAGAAGAAGAATGAACAAGAAAATTATATGAGGAATAAAAGTAGAAGAGAATTAAGTCAATGTCTAGAGGACAGTTTGCAGTCACAGGATGTGCTTGTCATTAAAAGGCATAGAAATGGCCTGGAATAAATTCCACAATGTTCAACCAAGGTCAGCAAGTCCAAACTCCAGCATCTGGGGTGAAATTAATCCAATGTCCCAGCACTGATTTAGCCTGACAAGCTGATAGGGACGTCAAATTGCTGCCTTCAGATATCTGAGGGATGATTGCAGGGAAGGCAAATGCACTCTTCTCAGAATTGCAAAGGGAAAGACCAAAAGACCACAAACACAAATTGCACAACTGATATTCCAATAAGACACAGAGGGAAGAAGAAAGTCACTATGCAGGGAGTCAATGCATTGTGTTTATGGAGTCTTCCACCTTGGAAGTATTCAGATCTTGCCCTGACATGGCCCTGAACAGCCTGATCTAATTTCAGTTAATCCTGTCTCAAGCAGATGCTTGTCATAGGGCCCTTTCAGCATAAACCTCTTTGCTTCTGTAATTCCTGATTCCTGGCAAGCAAGCATTGGCTCACTGTTGAATTCTGCTCCCATCATCTTGAAGGTTTACAAATGAAAATGTGGAAATGCATTCATTTATAAATGAAATGTGGGTTCTTCTACTGTTAGAACTTAGAACCAGCTCATGCTAGTACAGACTATAATATTTTGCAAACCAATTAATCCAAGAACTCACTTTTAATTACTATTTGCTCAGTGTCCATGGCTTGCCTATTAATTATTGCTACCATGGCCTTATTGGCAGATAAAATTGTTTAGCAAATGACTTCATTTGCAGGAGTCACAACTCCAACTTGAGACTACCCATGTTAAGCTATGTCTTTGGCCAGACACTAATCAATCTGTGTGAACTGTAAGTGGCCACAGTTTTTACTCTTCTGGGCTCGTCTCTTCACCATTAGAGCATTAATTCAGAATTTAAAATGCAGAGGCATCTTTGGGTAATATATGTTTGTCTTTTATTAATTATATATAGTGTCAATGATACAAACCGATAAATTATGCAAAATATGGCAAACGAGTCCATCAACACAAAGTTCCTCAGATTTGTGACAAAAAACATTTGATTAGGAATAAAGCAGGACTAAACCATGGACAATTGCAGTGATTTAACCTTGCCTGGCTGTCAGATGCCCACCCAGAAGATTCCTCAGTGCCCTCCTCAGCACAGCAGGGCAAAAGTAATTTATAACCATCCTCAAGGGGTGCAGGGAGATGAGGACTGAGGGCTTGTGGTCAGTCCATAACAGCTCCCTGTCACTCCCTCCTCTTCACAGCCTTCCCCTACTCCCTGCAGTGGCACAACTCTGCAAAGTGAATTATTTAGAGACATCCTCCATTTGTGTGATAGACTCAGTGTTCAGAAAGATGTCGAAACTTAAACCCCTTGAAATGAAGGCTATTAAAATTATTGCTGAGAAAGCACAAAGAGTTACAAAGACACCACTATGGAGCAGTTCAGCAGAGCTCAGCACTACAAACATGACCTGGTCATAATTATGCATCTCTATCTACACACATTTGTATTCATATATGTGTGTGTCTGTGAGATACAATACATACAAAAGCAATTCCCCCTCTGTCTAGCAAGATGACCCAGAGATCTAATCCATTTGCAAGATCCAGACTCAGTTTTCTCTTGCTCTGTAAGGGCAGTATGATTAAGCTGCACTGAATTTTGTTTCAAAAACTTCGGGTTTAAGTAAACAATTATTTCTTTTTAGCAAGGTGAAATATTACTATATTGCTTTCATTATGGTATGATATTACACTAAATTGAGGTTCCTGCTGTCAGGGCAATATTTTGATTGTGATTTAGTGCTTTATATCCTTTCAAATGGCACTTCTTTCAAATACCATAGTTCTCAGAGTGAGACAAGGGACTAGTTCTCAGACTAGTGAAGGAAATATGGACAGAGAATTGTTATGTCATCAAGAACCTCATTTCAAGACTTTGTCATTTCTTCCTAATTTATATTATCTCTATTTCTGTCAATTAACAAATAGGTAGAGCTCTTCCAAAGATTGGCTCAGAAGTTTCCCTTTCCTTTGACGGGCAGGAATATGGCTGGTGTGCCCAGATTCTCCACAAGGAAGAGTGTCATACCACAAATCTGGGTTTAGCACTCTGATTGAGAGTCAGAAACAGCAACTCCCAGGGCTCAAAACATAGAGTCAGTATGGCTTTACTTTTCTGAAGCTCAAAAGTTTTGACAGATTAGATTTATAAACAAATGATAAAATTGGTTACTACACTGCCTGTTTAATTTATTCTTGCTCTACTAAAGCTGCAGCTCTCACCCTCCACAGCACTTTAACTTTATCAAGGACTTGCATCCCATGGCACATTTATGCCTGGCAAGAAAATACAAAACAAGCATGCATTTCACAATGCCTTCTCTGATTAGTTCTCCAGTTCTGTGGTCAAAGAACCATGTCTTACCCAGATTAAATTTGTGCTGCTGAATTACTGCTCAGTGCTGAACATGTTGCTGAGCTATGGCACATTACTAAACAATTCATTTCCCAGCACTTCCTTTATAAATGAAATTACTTTTAAAAGAACTTTCTAAGCAGAATGAGGAAAGATACAGCTTTCACTGCTGTCCTCATAATTACCTTTGTGAGGAATTATCAAAAGAAAACTGTATAAGCAATAAATTTGGCAGCAATATTTTATATTGTCACTTAAAAATATCAAATTACAAGAAATAGTGCAAATCCAGTGACCTACCTTACATTTCTGTGGGTTTGCTTGTGTTTTATCTGAGACAAGTGTCTTCAGTGCTTCCCCTCTGAGTGGATTTCTTTTCTTATTATTTGCATATCCTGTGCATGATTATGACTGCTCAGAATGTTGTAAAAACCTGTGTCAGTGAAGTTTTATGATGTAATTCATTTACAAGCAGCTCCTATAAATATCTCTTCATGTGGATTATTACTTTGCTTCTCAAGCTGTGTCTTTTGTCAGGCCTTAATTCACACAAGTTTTTGAGACAGAAATGAAGCTGAAAAAACCATCTGATGTGAAATATGTTTCTCCTAGTAGCTATGAGATTTTCTTTGCTTCTCTGCTTGCAATTTTTGTGTGTGTTTGTGTTGGACTGATTGTACTTTCTTGGTTATCAATCCAGGAGTTGGAACGAGGTAAGTGGCCAACCTTTAGCTACAGACTTCTAGGAATTTCTTAGACTTTGAATACATTGCTCTTAAAATTGTAGGGGTTTTTTTGTTTGTTTGTTTTTTTGTTGGTTTTTTTGTTTGTTTTTGGGTTTTTTGGTTTTTTGTTTTTTTATTTCATGTTATGTTTTTAATGCTGGGGGCAGGGGAAGTGGTGTTTTAGGGTTTATGTGTTTTCCTCTCCTGAAAAATGATGTGAGCAAAATAAGGGGAAACACCAAGATCTATAATCATACTCTGAAGATATATAAAATAATTTTCATGGTTTAGGCTTTGGAAAAGATCCCTAAGATGCAATCCAAGCCATAAAGCTTGGGTTATTCCCCCATATTCATCAACTAGTGAAGGTAATATGGAAAACTGAGAAATTTTACCCTTTTCTCCATGCATGAGTTTTGAATCAGAATAAAAATAATCCAGTAAAAGTCTAATAATCTCCTACAGTTTGTGGGGCCTATCCCTTGGGATATATTAATTTTTTTATTTAAAAAATATTTTTAAGTCATTTATTGGTATGAGAGAGTTCCTGCATCAGTCAGTTTATTTGCCCCAGGTAAAGTCACTCTTAGTCTTTATTCAGTGCTCTGAATGTAATGGAAGAAGTTACTGATACTCAAAGCAAACTAAATTAAAATATCAATATATATATTGATATATATTGATATATATATATTTATTTTATATATATAGACATATATATTATATATATATTGATATATACAATAGGTAGGTGGGTACGTAGGTAGGTAGATAGATAGATAGATAGATAGATAGATAGATAGAATGTTTCATGATTTTTAAATGGAATTAAAATTTTGGTTAAGAAATCATGTGTATATAAGTGAAAGGGCCACATCTGGAGGACTGCATCCTGTTCAGGGCTCCAAAATATGTGAGGGATATGGAGCTACCAGAGAGAGTCTCAAAGTGATTTTTGTTGCTGGAGAAATATTGTGCTACATTTATGATTTTGCTGCTTTCATTAGCCAAAAATCCACACTATTTCATTCTGATGGCTAAATTTTCATGAAGACTAAACTTTCTGTAAGACATTTTAAAAAAAAATAAAAACAACCAACCAAAACAATTATGTCAAAATATCATGCTTGTTCCTTCAGTTGCCATTGGTTTTGTTTCCAGATTTTAAAAACTGCACCAGCTACCAACTTTCTTACCTTTTTACCAGAATGTTATCACACTCCACTAAAATAAAAAGGTGTATTATTGAATGTAGATACAGGCTTTTATTTAATGATTTTGTTTTTAGAAGAAAAATAGGAAAATATTTTTTAAAATATTATTAGAACATATTTTTAAATATAGTTGGTATATAATTTTAAAAGGCTTTTGCTATTTAGAAATATTTTTAAACAGATTTGCAATTATTTTAAAGACGAGCCTTCAAAGAAGCTCAAAGCAGTCTGCTAGTATTAGTTGATATTCAGTTGGTGTCACTATGCTATGCCTTCCATAATAAACTGTTCATTGTAGTATTTATTGCTTATCTGCTGTTATGATTCAGTTATTAAATTTATTAGAAATGCCTCTGCCCAAATTAACGTGCAAATGAGTCCGTATGCCAAAGTCAATAGTGTGGGTTTTATGTAAAAGTAAACAAGAGAGAGATAAAAAGGAAGAAATAGAAAAGAGGGGCTTAGGAGGGGGGAGTAAGGTGGAGAAAGATTAAGTAGAAAATATCAACTCCATGGATCCTGATGGCGTCTTGATGATCTTCTTGGTGGTGAGAGTTTCTTGAAAAACACAGAATCCAGTGGATGAATGTACATCTGGGCCAGGTAGGAATGCCCAGGTTCCTGTTAGGAGGTGTCTTCAGGGAGGAGAGGGCTTTGGTGGTCACAGCCTCTTTATGCAGTTTTGCCATAATGGACAAAACTCCTTTATAACCATGTTTAAGCCATAAAGGATAATATTTCAGTCTCTGACATCTGTTTTTGTCTTAAAACTTGCTTTAATGTTAATGCCTTCAAACACAACCTAAAATACCACTGGTACTGCTGCCAGTAAGAAAAGGCATTTCCTATCAATCAACTTTAATTCAGATATTTTCTGAGAACTTCCAGTGTGTTACACAGTGAAGAAATATTTTTTTAATGTATAATGAATTCCTTTATGTATACCTCATGTCCTGTAGCATATTAAAATCAAGATTAAGTTTGCAGCAAGGATCAGTTGTCTAATTTCTTTATAAATTCTCCCAGAATTTCATGTGTGTATTAGTGAGAAAGGTCAGGTCAAAAATAATTTCACTATTCTGACACTGGATGTTTCCAGTGCTGTCATCAAAAACAGTTTACACATATAAAAAAGGGCAAAAATACATAAAGTGTGAGGCAATAATTCATAATATTTTTTTATCCAGAACATACAAAATACTCATAATTCACTATTTGCCTTCCCATTTATCTCTGTCCCTTGTGTTAGACAGAACTGGGCATATCATTGTATCCTTTATGCACTCACAGTATTCCAGGAAAACAGCATCTAAAACAAAACTGAAAGTAATGAGAGCTAAGGGCAAATAGAATTCATAAAAATATGATTACCAATAACACTATCGTAAACATTAAAAAGTCTTTTTTTTCTAGGCAGAACATCTCTGATCAAAAAATTAAAACCTAGAAATTATTGTATTGATGATCTGTGTGAAATAAAATCTAATGTAATATTTTTCATTTATTTCTATATAATTAAAACACCTTTTTATTTTCATTATCTAGTTGAATCAGAGGGAATTACTCATAGCTATACGGGAATATTAAAAATAGTCTCTGGCACGTCTTTCACTTCAACCTTACAAAACAGTTCCTCAGCTGATTTCAAAGTCCTTGCCTTTGATGTCGAAAAATTGGTAAGAACCTATCAGCTTGTGGTTTATTCAAGACTATTTGTAGGTACATTAATTCCTTACCATTAACTGCTGTTGATATTTTTTCTTTCCAAAAAACGGTTATTTCAGGTCCTCCTAAGCCTGGTCAGAACCCAATATGTTCCTTATTTGAGAAAATCAATGAATCATCAAACAAATACTTTGTTTCTGTAGTCTAGAAAAAGTTATTTAGTACTGAAACCATGATTATACTGTGAGAACGTGTATATTTATATTTATATTTATATTTATTTACTTTTTAAAATTATTGTATTCGTTGAAGATTTCTCTTTTTTATATAGATACAAGATATCTTTCACAAAAGTGATCTGAAACACAAGTTTGAGAGATGTGAAATCTCCCAATTCAGGTAGGTACAGCTTAATTTAACTTTGAAAATAAATGTCAAAAGTCCTTACTTAGATATTTCTCTCAGAAGTATTTACCTTGATTATCAAGACATCCTTGGAAACCTCCTATGTTATGCCTTTTACATCTAACATCTTCCAGCGTGCTCAGTTTGACACCAGTGTGTTTCCTTGGGTGAAATTCCCTGCCTCGACCAAACCAGTAAGGCTGAGCCCTAACACCCACTCAGAAAAATTCCACATTTCAAAGAACTGCTGAATTATTTTTTTGCCAAGGTGCTGTTCACAGGGATGCTGATCCTTGCCATCTAGAGTAAATTTCAGGTTAGAGATCTCCTGGCCTAAGCCTGGAGGCTCAGGCACTGATATGTCCCTGTGATCCACTTAATTCACATTCCTTAGGGCTTTAACAAGTAAGGCTGTCACTTGACACCAGGAAAAACTGCAGCCTCTGTGTCCTAAAGATTCCATAAATTTGGTACACTGAGATCTGCTTCATTTGGTAAAGCTCATTTTCAATATTCTGAGGTGTTGGTTGTCCTCCTGAAGACCTGCTGACAAAAGTTATACAGCCAGGTCTGTGCTGTTAATTCCTTCTTCACTACTCTTAATAAGGTTCTGATTCAGCAAAACACCTGTAACACTGTCTCTCATTATTCCACAATTCCAGGATGTGTTCCCATCCTGTCAAAGCATTCTAGTCTCAATGGGAACCATGTGGTGTTGGTTGTGTTTTTTCTTTTTTATTGGTGATTCTTTTTCTACAGGAAATCGGAAGATGGCCATGGCAGATTGACATCAGAGACCAGGTAATTGTATATAATAAAGTTTACTTAAAATATAGGCAAGAGACAATGATACTACTAATTTAGACAGCTCTTCTGTGAACTGTGAATAGATTTTAAAAAAGCAAAACCCAAACATTTTTAGAATTTAGATAAGGCCCTCTAAAGAGGATGAAGCTTCAAGACATCTTTTCTCTTAAAACTTCCTTTAGGATTAGAGTTTAAAAAGGTGATAGTCTCTGGGACTGTCGATTTAGAAAGAAAAATGAAGAGTGAGAAAGGCAAGAAACTATCTAGAAAAGAAAAGACATAGGTTTGTGCTGAGTTTGTTCATGTAAAACTGCTTAAACTGAGGTCAGATCTCATGTCACTACCAGTAACTCAAGTTTTAAATCAAGAGAAGTCTAATGACACACTGTGATAGGCAAGAACAAAACAGAGGATAAAACATTGACTCTAGCAGAACTGAAGAACCCTGGGAAATGAATGGTATAACTTGCTGTCTCATAGGTGAACCCAGAAAATTAAAGTACACATTACATGAAAACAGATCAATAGTTTTGTGCTACCACATGTTCTTGTGGTATCAGTGTAAGTACATAAAGTTGATAAATATGTAGAGGAGATTAGTTTATTTGAATGATTGTCCTTGAAAAAAAAAACCACAAACAAGATATTGGGATATTATCTGACCATGAATATCAATAAGTAATGGGAAGCAGATTAATATTGGAGCAATCTTTTGACTGGACTAGTGAGGACATAACCCTATTAGCTAGAAAGCAGAGTATGATCACTTTATGAAGGGTTATATAACATAAAGGGAATGGACTGCACAGCAGCAGCAACACTTCCAAAGTGCTGTCCTTGTAGGTAGATCCACTCAGGAAATTTGGGTTCTGCACAAAGAAAGGGACTATTCTCATCAAAATCTGGGCATCAAACATGGAGACATCTCTGAGGGGTTTGTTCAAGGCTGCCTTTGTAAGTGCTGGGTTTTTAGTTTTCTCATCTGGTCAATTTAGACACCTTTTAGGAGGAGACCAATTATGCCAAAGGACAGCTTATTTCTTTCTATCAACCAAAATGGGAATCTTGATATCTGCACTGTAAATAACTCTGTTGGCAGAACTCATCCCACCACTGTATCTTGACACAACAATCATAGAAACTGCAGAAAATCTGCTGGGTTTGAACCTTGGATCTTGTTTTTAATACAACAGTAAGGATCTACTTTAACTTCTCCATCTAATAACTTTGTCTCGGGCTTTACTTTCTTTTCATTTAAAAAGTGTTTACCCCTTCAGGCAATCTGCTTGGCATTTCACCCTTGAAACGCTGCTGCTGAGTCACAAGGAGAGCAATAAAAGCTTTTGTTTGCTCAGCATGGCCTAGAGGTTATCAGAAATAAGCAAGAAGGAGAGCTTTTCTGCATATTGCAAACTACAAACTATGCTCAGCAAAATGACAAATCACAGGATTAATCACTCCTTACAAAGAGCACTACTGAGTCAGTTGCAAGTGGGTAGTTTAAGGATAAAAAAGTTTACATCTAAATTTAAGTAAAGGAGAAAGTGTTTGTCTTTGGCAAGTGTCATACTTTGATATTACCTTACTCTAGCTGCAAGCATAAAACTTCATAATAGTGTCTGGAAAGGATGGAGAGAACAAACAAAACACTCTGGATAAAAATCATAGAAGTTAAATGCAGTTTAACCACAATTTCTAAATATCTGTGTTTTCAGCCATCATTGTTTCCTTGTGAGAATCCAGGCGATCACAGAGCAGATCTGCAAAAATGCAGCATCCACAGATTTGCTTTATAAAAGAGATCACTTTGTATTATATTTTGCCATATTATACAATTTTCATAATACTTCCAGGTTCACCTTCAATATTTTAGGGCTAAAACTAACAGACCTGTTGAACAACCGTAAAGCTAAATCTTTAGTTTTCAGCTCTATTGCAGCAATTGAAATGAAATTGTCTTGTAAGGTTTTTTCTGATTGTGAGAGTAAGAGTAGATAAAGAAAAAACAAAGTTTCTCCAAGATTCAAACTGACCTGATGATTAAGAGATGTTTCTTTATATCATCTTTGCCAGCCAATATTTAAAAATCAATCTGCCTTTGCCATTGGAACCAGAGTTAGAATGAAATATTGTCTAGATGATGTTGCATAGCAGATTTTTTTCATCAGTTTAAATAACTAATTAATTTCTCTGTTTTGTATTGCTAGTGTGGTTGTGATCCTCACCCTTTATTTTACCCGGATGGCAACAGCTGAGAAAATAAAAAATGAGCTGGTTTTGGGTGTCACTGCAAATAACCCTACCGAGACTTTGAAAATTGATGTGAACAGCATACAAATCACAGGTAATATTAGAAAGGGGGTTTTTTGAGGTTTTTATTGCCTTTTTTTTTGTTTGGGTTTTTGTTTGTTTTTTTGGGGTTTTTTTTGGTTTTAATTCTAAAAATGCCTCAGAACTACAGGTAGCAGGAAAGGAAAGTTTTGTCTCCCAGACAGTAATTGGATTGTTACTTTTCCAACATTCCATAACTTTCAGTAGCAGCTTAAAGAAGAATTTACAACCTTTTCTACTGGAAAGTATGACCAGCATTGTGTACATTCCCTAAGGAGGGAGTAAAGGGCAAGGTAGCGGTTTCCCCGTGAAAACCACTCAATTTCACTTCTTAAGAAGCATAATGTTTGTAATTTTTAGCCCTCTAATTAAAGCAATTAAGCCCCAAACGTTGTTTCATAAGTAAATAGAGTTACAATTTTATTCTGCTAAAGAATGAGAGAAGGGCTCAGAGTGGCAGTGAGTAAAGGCTCATTTGCTGAAAAATATGTCCTGTAGAAAAACAAACTGCTTTGGGAGCAGTGCACCCAGGGAACTGGCTCCATATTCCTGTAGAACCTAGATAAATATACATGGTGGAGAAAGGAACAGGGCTTTGAGGACTAGGTAGCTTTAAATTCTGCAAATATACAGATATTTTATGTAAGTACTAGAAAATATACCAAAGTCTAAATGGAAGCCCTTCAAGATCAGTGAGAATCCTTTTTTTTTTACCTGAATAAACCTTCAAAACAGCCCTTCACTGAGGATGAGGTTAAAAAACAATCTGAATTCTTTGAAGCAGAAGTTGGTAAGCTGACATTTGAAGACCTGCTGGAGTTACTACTAAGTAAAAACTGAGGAGTGGCAATCTGCTGTGCCATGTCTCTTAATCTATACTAAAAGCTGCATTTTTTGCTAAGTACTTCAAATATTCAAAGGCTAAATTCAGAGTCTGGGCATATTTAGTTCTCTTTACTGCTTGTTTATTACCAATTACCACACAACACTGTGGAAATTGATTGCTCATTTTACTTCAGAAATGCCACCAAAAAAAAAAAATTAAGAGCCTCTTAAAAGGTTCATCCACTGATGAACTTTGAAGTAGTCAAACTTTTACTGCTGTGGTTCATTAAAATGCCTCTTTTCTCATGAGAAATCACCTGTCCATTCTACCAGGAGTGCTTCAATGAAATAATTGTAGCTAATTAAAAATCACAATCATATGAGGCACTTATGAATGGTGTATTTCAATATGTTCTGCTAGAGTCATTCCTATTTCAGAGAGGGAGAGAGGTGTCACACAGGCATGGCTTGCTTGAAGTGAGTTTTCACAGCGATTAAAAGTAACTTTCCTTCTAGTAAACTATGCCAGGTCAATTTTAACTCATTCATCTCTTCTAAATACTGTTCTCTAAGACACAGGTGCTCTGCAAATCTGTATAGAATAAAAAGCCTTGAGAGAGATTTTCCAGGTGAAGACATTTTATGTGCAATACAATCAATAGGGATTGAGGATTGAAAGGAACTGCGGTGGCTTTGAAACCTCATAGCTCCAACTCATTTTTGGGATCTTTCTTCCTTGGGAAGGTCATGGAGTTTGAGAAAAGATTGGGAACAGACTGAGGCAAAAGGAGGGAAGCAGGACACTGACAGTGGTTCAGTGAGAAATAGTCATGGCTGATTTCTTTTTAATCTTTATTTCTGTCATCTAAAACTGGACTCTGTGCTATAAAAGAAGCTTATAATGAACTTGTTTTCTTCCAGTAGCTGCTGAAAATCCTACTACAACAACACCTTTAACCTCATCAGGTCAGTATCTTTCTCAAAGCAGGCACTAATTTTTGTTACCAATACAAGATTAAGGAAAACAAGAATTGCTGTTCAGCTCACCTAACTTAGTAAATCTGCACTGGTTGCAGCTGGGGCTTGACTGCCAGGGTCCATTCAGTGATAATTAACTGCTTTCACCATTTCGGAGTATTTGAGAGAGCACTGAGTGATCTGTAGTCTGTACAAAATCTGTAGGAGCTTAATTAGAGTATCAAACCAAAACTGAGTCTCCATTAACCAGCTGAGCTGCAAGCTGAAGATTTTGCAGATTTGGGGAGGTAGATCAGGCTGGGGAGTCCTGCTCTCATGTTGTGGTTATTGATTTACTAAGCAATGTTGAGAGACAGATTTTCTTCCACTATCCCTGGAAGTTTTACAGTGATAAAACACGAAGCAGACAAAATTAGTCTCACAAAGCTGCCAAAAGTCAGCAAGAGAGATAAACAATGCAGTAAGTGTTTTATAGCACAAGGTGCAGGTAGTCACACACAAACTGCATTCAAATTATCACACACAAACTCTCCAGGGCACAGGGTACCAGAGCAGAAGCTAAACAACTGCCCCTATAAATATAGGAGACAAGTGTTTATTGATATTCTGATTACAGCCACGGTGATGGAAAAGTTACTGTTAGTCTGGTTACAGGCCTACCAACGTGTATAGTCCAAAGTGTGCAAGTACTGTGTCTATTCCCAAAGATACAGTTTAAACTGCTAACATTCGGTTTTTCCCTATCTGTCCCTTCCTCTGGCATGCTATCTTAATGCTCCCCTGCTCCTAAGTTCAATGTTGCTAATCATCCTCAAGCAAAATTTGGAGACTGGGGGAGGTTCCTAAGCAAAGGGGAAGGGAGTTGGGAATTGTCAGCACCCAAGGCTGGAATGGCAACAATACTCCTGGTGTGAATTTCTTCTCCCTTGGCCTTGGGTCTGCTTGAGGTCACTTTTGTATTTTTTGTTAATATTTCCCGCTTCCTTGTTCTTTATATTTCAGTCCAAATGACACAAAATACTCACATTTTACCATACCAGGTACATTTACACCTGTTGGATGCAGGGTTATGGCTCTGCTGACCCTAAAAGCATCCTTTGCCATTGCCATCTCAACCTGTTACTTTAGTGAGATTTTCTAGTAATTGTGCTTATATCACTGCTGTTTCTGTCACTGTCTTGTGTTTTCCTTTTTGCTGTCAACTTGTGCATGCACTTTTGGGAACATCTGTAGCAACCACAATTTTTCAGCAGTTTTCAAGAGGCAGTTCCCTGATAACTGTTTTCTTAGAACTGTTTGCTCCTGCATGCATGTATGTTTTATGTCTTGGAATGTTTAATTCCTTCTAAATTGGTTATCCTGTAGTAAATGTATAGACAGATATGTTAGTATAAATATATATATATATGTGTGTGTATATATATATGTATATATGTGTGTTTGTGTCTCTTTGAAAACCTGTGATGGTATGAATTAAGCTTTTTTTTCTCTGCAGTAACTGTGAGAACAGTCCAGCTATTCACTGCTCTTCTCTCTCTCTGCCAAAGAAATTGAATCCCTAAATTTGCTGACACAGAATGCACCATAACCAGAATGGCCCAGTTCAGCTTAATAGTATTTATTAAATAAGCAGTTTTTGATCAAAAATTGGTGGGAAATCCTCCTGGAAATTTGTGCACTAGGTCTGGGAGAGCAGGAATACCTAACAAAAGTAAGTTGGTGATGGCCAGTGGTCAGCAGCTTCTTCCCACAAAAGTATAGAGAAATCCTCACTGCATCTTCCACTTTATTCCTTCAGGCCCCTCATCCTATAAACTGAGGTACAGGACCCAGTACCTGCAGTGACTTGGGAATTGTTTTCAGTCAAAGACATCATTATTCTACTCACATATTTGAGTCTTAATTTAGAAAGTAGAAATAGTAATAGTAGTAAACAGAGTAGTAGTTTTAGTAATAATAGTAATATAAAATAGTAATAGAAATAGTAAACAGAGATGCTAAAGCAAATTCAGAGAGGAAAAGAAAAAAGACTGTTTGGGAGCTGGAAACGCCAGGTGCATCCTCAATGAAGTGGAACTTCTTTTGGAGCAATCAAAATTACACATTCCATTTTTCCAGAATGTTTTGCAGTTCACAATAACTAATACAAATCTGCTTATTTACCCAGGCATTTGTTCATGTGTAAACATGTACACCCACAATGTGTATATATATATACATCTGTATGTAAATAGACAAACACAGTATAGGTTTTAGGTTCCTAATTGATTTGTAGAGCAATTTTATTTGTCAGAAAATCTATGTTTATCTTTTAGTACTAATGCTGAAGTTGTCATAACTTTCCATGTTTCAACGATCCCATGAGTTTCATTACAATTTCCCTGGCACCAACTTCAGGTCAGAACTTTTACAGGGGAGGACAAGAAAGAATTGCTCCTATTTTAAAGGGGGGAAGATGGAAGGAGGAAAGGAATCTTTTGAAGTTATTGAAACACTTGGGTTTCACGTAATTTTTTCTTATGTTTATTGTGACACTGGAACTTCAGAACCAAGCCACTCAAGCTGGCACTACCTGGAGTGTGGAGAGCTTTTTTTTTTTGCTTTTTTTTCTTTAATATCTGCAATAATGCAGCTAAAATAATAAAAGCAGATTGACTGCTGCTTAATTCTGCCCAAGCAACCACAGAGGTGTTCCCAGAGAAGAAGTAGAGTTCTGACTTTGGGTTGTGTTTGTCCAGGTTCAGGAGAAATCACCACAATCAAGCCCTCAACAACAGTGGGTGAGTAATTCTGTGTGTGGAGGAGCAGGGAGGGGACAAGGAGTAGAATTCTAACAAACTTTGTGTTTGTCCAGGTTCAGGACAGCTGAAGGGTTCAGGAGCAGGGAGAGGACAATAAGTAGAGTTCTAACCTTGGGTTGTGTTTGTCCAGGTTCAGGACAAATCACCACAAGCAAGCCCTCAACAACAGTGGGTGAGTATCTCTGTGTGTGTGGAGGAGCAGGGAGGTTCCACAGAGCAATCCGAAACTGCAAAATTGCACTGCTCATGTGCAGCCTTTCCTCACAGCATTCAATCCTTTTATTCCATTCCTGAATATATATATAAATATATATATATATACATCTGTATGTAAATAGACAAACATTAGGTAGGTTTGAGGCTCCTAATTTATTTGTAGAGCAATTTTATTTGTCAGAAAATGAACCTTTACCTTTTAGTACTAATGCTGAAATTGCCATAACTTTTCTTGTTTCAACAGATCCCACGAGTTTCATTGCAAGTTCCCTGACACCAACTCCAGGTGAGAACTTTACAGGGGAAGACAAGAAAGAATTGCTCCTCTTTTGGTGGGGAGAAAGTGGAAGGAGGAAAAGACTCTTTTGAAGTTACTGAAACATTGGGTTTCACATAATTTTTTCTTATGCTTATTGTGACACTGGAGCTTCAGGACCAAGCCACTCAAGCTGGCACTACCTGGAGTGTGGGGAGCTTTTCTTTTTCTTTTTTTTCTTTAATATCTGCAATAATGCAGCTATAAAAGCAGATTGGTTGCTGCTTAATTCTGCCCATGCAACCACAAAGGTGCTCCCAGAGAGCAAGAAGTAGAGTTCTAACCTTGGGTTGTGTTTGTTCAGGTTCAGGACAACTCACCACAATCAAGCCCTCAACAACAGTGGGTGAGTAACTGTGTTTGGAGGAGCAGGGAGGGGACAAGGAGTAGAATTCTAACCTTGGGTTGTGTTTGTCCAGGTTCAGGACAGCTCACCAGAAGCAAGCCCTCAACAACAGTGGGTGAGTATCTCTGTGTGTGTGGAGGATATGCAGGGAGGTTCCACAGAGCAATCTGAAACTGCAAAATTGCACTGCTCATGTGCAGACTCTTCCTCACAGCATTCAATCCTTGTATTCCATTCCTGAAAATTCAGGATATGCAGGTTTGCCTTAGACCAAGGAGACCTCCTCAAGGAGAAGGGACTTCTAAGACTGTACATGCTACAAAAATGCTGCATGTGTTATGCATGTTGATGCACACATTGGCACTAATAGTAACTGCTCTTTTTTTAAAATTCATATTCTTTTTTTTTTACTTTTATGAGGAAAATAAAATAAGCAAACTGATAGCAAAGTGTGACTTCCAATGGACAGAAAGCTGAAGATGTTTGAGTCTTTGAAAACATTCTCCAGCCTTCTTATATAGTGAAATATATATGATTTCTGCAAACAGTCTAATGTGTTCAAGTCTTATGTGTTTACTGCCCTTATTTAATTGAATGTAACACTTACAGCACAATTTAGGGTAATTTGCCATTTAAAAGAGGAGTCATAATGTTTAAGCAGGAAAAGTTGATTTCTTTCAATCCAGGAGGTGGCAGTGCTGTTTAGTTTTCTGAGTTGAATAAACGAAGGATTTATCAGGTTGTGTGTAAACAATGATTTCTTTCCTGATGGGCTTGTGCAAAATCTCTTCCTGGGTTATTGGTTGGAATTTTTGCTCTGGGTCTAGAATGCTCAGTTTTGTCTCTGCTCATCTGTGGAGATTCATTCACTGGCCCTGTGTCACCTCCAACACTTTACTGGAGGATGTTTGGTTCATTTTAATTTCCAGTTGGATGCAAAAGGGTAAATCTTGTGGCTTTGTGACGTTTGCATTGCCAACACTGAGAATGTTTTGTAAAGCACTTTGAGGTGCTGCAATACATCCACACCAATGGCAGTCTGGGACACACAGTACAGTATCATATTTAATGTGATTACAGAACTAACAGCTCTATAAAAAAAATGAAAAAGATGAAATTTTACAGATTACTATTCTTCCTTCTTGCATCAGAAATGCTGACCTTTTTCTGTAAGCATTTATTGAAGTAGAGACAAGGAACTGTGTGAATAGTTCTATAGAATTTAATGCAAATTTAACAATTTTCAAATCAGTAGTTCTCCAAAGCTTAGTTTAGCTGCATGTTTCTGTTCACTTTAATAGGACCTACTTCAATTCTAAAGATATCTAGGACCAAAACCCTCTAAAGACTAAGAGTTTGTTTGCAGTAGATGAACATTTATGCTCTAGAAAAAGACTATTAGTAGGACCTACAATTTCAAGGATCTGCCCATTTATTTTTCTAACAGAAATTTGCTCTTAACTTACACATTTAATTTGTAAATCTGAACAGAATATGGTTTCTGATAATTCTGGTGCTTAAGAATCTAAAGGCTCTTTTTTTTAGGATATGCTGGTTAAAAAATCAGATTTCTTAGCATGATGAGGTGCAACATTATGAAGTGTTAAAGCTGAAGAAATCAATTAAATTCTATTTACCTAAACCCAGAGATTATTCACTGTTATTTAAAGCAAAGAACAATTTTCTCACATTATATGAACACAAGAAATTGGGAAGTGTCATTCATTATATTGCATAAAGTAGGTTATTTGTGTAAAGGGGGAAAAAAAAAGGAATTCACAGACATTTTCTTCCAGCCTTGCTTCAAGCTTGGTTTCAAAACATATTTCACTTCTGAGAACTCTCTCCATTCTCTGCCAAATTTATCTTTTTAGTATGTGATATTTCATTCCAGGCTTCTAAAAATGCAGTTTTGTAAAACACAATAGAGTGGTTGATTTGATTTGTGGTAAAGCAAGCAGAGGTAAGTCAATTTTCCTTTGTAGTGAGGCTGCATTACTGTTGTGCTGTTATTGCTCTCATCCTTATTATTCCAGCTGAGTGTTTGCTGCCTGCTGAACTCTGTGCTGATGGTGCAACCTGTATTAGTGAAGAATTCTTTTGTGATGGAGTCTTGAACTGCCCAGATGGTTCAGATGAATCTGAAAATAGATGTGGTAAGAATGTAAACTCCTGTAAATCAGTCTTTTTACACATGCTTAACACTGTCAGTTGTTTGTAAATAGTTCATGGGCAGTAAACTGCACAGTGAAGCCCAAATCAATTCTATTAAACATAATAATGAATGATTTTTATAATATTTATCTTGCAAGAGGAAACAATGTTCTGTAAAATTCTCACTAATGAAGCATATATGCTTAATAAATAATGAATATTAGAGTCTTTCTGTTTTAATATAAAGTTATACATGACCATGTTCTCAGGGGTCTGAGGGTGAGGGAAGAGATGAGGATCTGACTCCATGTTTCAGAAGGCTTGATTTATTATTTTATGATATATATTATGTTAAAACTACACTAAAAGAATAGAAGAAATTATTTCATCAGAAGGCTAGCTAAGAATAGAAAAGAAGGAATGATAACAAAAGCTTGTGTTTCGGACAGAGTCCGAGCCAGCTGGACTGTGATTGGCCATTAATTACAAACATCCAACATGGGCCAATCACAGATGCACCTGTTGCATTCCACAGCAGCAGATAATCAATGTTTACATTTTGTTCCTGAGGCCTTTCAGCTTCTCAGGAGGAAAAATCTCCTAAGGAAAGGATTTTTCAGAAAATACCATGGCTACAGTTACACATTTGTTGCTTCTGTAGAAATATTACTAACATAAATCCTATGCAAATTACAAAATAATATACAAATTTAATGTGAAGATTTGCATCAGTGATATCAAAGAGTGTTCAGACCAGATGACCTATACAGGTCCCATTCAACCTCAGCCCATCTGTGATTCTATGAAATTCCAGACCTGAAACCTCACTGGAATTTAACAAAAAGAGCTTTTATCCTTCTGTGCCAGTCAGATTGTTTGCCTTTGTCTTATCTTTGAGTACTGTGTCCATTTCTGGCCCACTCACTACAAAAGGGACATTGAGGGACTGGAGAGGGTCCATGGAAGGGCAATAAAATTGCAGAATAATCCATGTGAGGAGCTAGGAGGCCTCAGCCTGGAGAAAAGGCAGCTCAGGGATCAACTTCTCACTCTGCACAACTCCCTGACAGCAAGATGGAGCCAGGGCAGGTCGAACCAGTGACAGGACAAGAGGAAATGGCCTCAAGCTGTGCCAGGGGCAATTCAGATTGGACATCGGGAAGAATTTCTTCACAGAAATGGTTGTCCAGCATTGGAATGGGCTGCCCAAGGAGGCTGCCCAATTTTTCCGCATCTTTATTGTTTCACATTTGTCCCATTCCTAGAAACTTAATATGGTCACATGAAATCTAAAATTGTTTAGATTTGCAGAATTTCTTTAGAGTTTCACAATGAGATTTATGACCAATTCATAATTCATTCTACAAGTGCTCCTTCATATAAAAGGAGTTGCTGTCCTCTAAAAAACTTGGTTTGTTTTTCATCTGGATTGTTATTCCCTCTAGTATTTCTGATTTCATAATGTCAATGGTTTAAAAATATAGGATTAAAAAGTGAATTTTAGTCATCTCTTTCCTGCATTAGAAAGAATTCAGTGAAATCTCAGATTCTCAGAAGAGATACAGGCAACCAAACACCCTTTTTTTTTTGTTTGTTTTATTGATTAAAATTATCTTGAAAGGTTTCTTTCTGGCTCTGCAATGCAGTGCAGTAACAAAAGGCTTCGCAAAAGTACAGCTAGCAATTTCAGTGAAAGGGCCTCTAGAGAAATGTGAAGTCTGAGCAGCAGCCACTAATAATGAATGACTGGCATTGCTGTAAAGCAGCCACGTAGGGGTACAGAAAGGGAGACTGGAGGCTGATCCCAGGAGGGGTTTCTGCAGACTCTTTGCAGTTATTATATGTCTAGACTATCATTTTTGTGATTACTCACCTCACAGCATCACTACAGCACTGAGAGATTAATCACAAAGTAATGGACTGGCCTTTGGCAGAGGAAGATGCTGTCAAGTGAAATATGTGGGCTGGGTTTGACCAGTTTGGGGAGCTTCTCCCTCGAATTCAAGGCTAACAGGATGAAGCCCTCCTAATGTCCCATGTATGGAACAGAATTAAATAGAAGTGGACAGCAGGATACATACTGGGGAAAGAGTAGAAGTGGCTCTTTCAAAGGATATCCCCTGTCTCCTTAGGAGAACAAGTGCAGCTTTTCTTTGGGCTCCAGGATGAGGCAAATATGTAATGACTTCCATGCCCATCCATCTTTGACCACAGCTGCTTTCTCCCTGCAAGGAGGAAGCACTGGGAGGTTCTCTAGGGAAAAAGGACCAGTCTCTGCTGTCTTCCTGCTCATTCCTAACACTAAGCACTGAATATTGCTAGTTTAACTAAGGACCTGTTTGAATTTACTCACTGTCTCTTAAGAGATTAGGAAAAAATGAAAGAGAACAATAAGATAAGAACAATCATAATAATAGGGGGCTGGAGCATCTCTCTTATGAGGAAAGGCTGAGGGAGCTGGGGCTGTTCAGCCTTGAGAAGAGATGAGTGAGAGGGAACTTCATCAGTGTCTGTCAGTGCCTGCAGGAGGGGTCAGAGCAGGGACCAGGCTCTGCTCAGTGGGGCCCAGCAATGGGACAAGGGGCAGTGGGCAGGAATGGACGCACAGGAAGTTCCACCTGAACATGAGGAAGAAATTCTTCACTGTGCAGTGGCCAAACACTGGAACAGATCAGACAGAGAGGCTGTGGAGTGTCCCTCACTGGAGACATTCCAGAACCATCTGGACACAAGCCTGTGCCATGTGCTCTGGGATGATCCTGCTTGAGCAGGGAGGTTGGATCCATTGTAGTCCCTTCCAACCAGATCCATTCTGTGATTCCAAGAGAAATGAATGAGCAAACAGTTGTCATTGATTTTATTAGACAAGTATGCCTATCTTTTTTATTATTGTCCATCCTATGAGACTCCTTTTAGATCAGATTATGTCTTACTTGTTAACAGCACCACTTTTTTCTAATCTTCACTGATAGCAAGCTCAAGAACAATCAGTTCTTCTCACACTGATTTTCTTCTTCTCATTGGTAAGGACAGGAAACATGTGAATTAATGTGGAGAAAAAAAGTACTTCTATACCAATACCCAGCTCTAATGCTAATATAGAATAATAATTATCATTCATGGACCTTTTCTCTCTATGTGCTTAAAATCTTGTGTTCTGTTTTCCTCTCAAAGATTGCAAAAGGGAATATGTTTCTATTTCAGCTCATGCATTAGGTATGTTGGCAAAGCTCATTCTGCACAATCTTTATTTATGGTGTACGGCTGCATGAAACAAAGCTTGACTTTTATTTTGTGTTTGCTACAGTGATAGGCAGAAAGAGTTTTGCACTTATAAAATCAACACACAAGGAGGCCCAATTTATTAGTTTATATATAATTTCCCAGAGGAAGACTATGCTCAATAAAATTCCCATTTAATTTTCAATATGCTTGGTTATTCATAATTTGGACTGTCATTATAGGTATGGTTTCATTTCTGAAATTAATTAAAAGCTCTGTATAATTTCTGATCAGCTGCCTCAAACTGATGAACTTGTCCTTTCCTCTCCAGATAATCATGTGTGGTATTGATTTTATCTTTGTGTGAAACCACTATGATACTTTTTGAACAACTGAAGAAAAAACATTATTAGACAGATTCTAATATAATGTTCAAGAGATGAAGCAAAACCTTCAGCAGTTCCTCAGTGTCTGCTGATATACAAATCTCTACGTGAATTATCATTTCCAATCTTGCTGAGGCTTAAAAATACTTTTTTTTCCCCTATTTTTTAAGTGAAGAACTTTCATAAAATAGAATACCAACACCAAGGAAAAAAACTATTGAAAGCCCTTTGAAAAAATAGATGATGATAAATGACATTTACCTCAGCTGAATGAATTCAATAGCTGGCAGGAAACCTGGGACATCCACTTATCTCTTCGAGTACTCAGTAATATATAAGGCAAGGAACCAGGAAGCTTATAAAAGTAGAGATAACAATAGTCAACCTTGTTCCCTTTTGCTTTTATTCCTGTGATATCAAATTTTCTCTGGTAGTGCAAACACAGATTTCTGATTTAAAGTAGTTGTAGATAAGAACTGGTAAGGCAAGATCCTGCTTTTTTATAAAAGTATAGAGTAAAATGAAAGTATTGGATTAGCTAAATCCATTTGCTGTTTTTGAATTATTTGGATTGGTTTAGACTAGTTTGGATTAGTTGGATTGTGTCAAATTTAAAAATGAATTTTCTGTACTGCTTTTCTTCTCCTATAGTACTTTGAGATCAAACAGTGATAAGCATTAGAAATGGGAATAAATTGATATTGTATTTTATTTTGTCTTCCTATTGTTGCTTACAAAGCAGTTACAAGGTAATCCATGTAAATCAATATCCAGGGTCACCCACATTTTGGCTCTGATTCTGTTTTTCAAATGTCATTCTGACAAATGCTCTTCATTATATCTTTACAGCTGCAGTTTGTGATGGACAATTCATGTTGACTGGCTCCTCTGGGTTTTTTCACTCTATGAATTATCCAAAGCCATATAATGAAAACATTGTTTGCAAATGGATAGTAGTGTAAGCCATTTTCCAATAATTTTGTACCTAACATTTTTGTTGATTATGAGGTGATCTTATTTCCTGCACAATAGTCTTATGTCATTTGCTTTTATTCCCAAATACCCCAGTATAGAAAATATGTACTATCATTTTCTCCTTTCTGTTTATGTGACTTTTCTTTAAAAACCTTCATGCATGAGCTCCATAACTATATCAATAATTTTTCCACTTACAAAAATTCTTTGGTACAATTTTGAGAAATCTTGTGTGTTATATACATCCAGAGGAACATAAGTGTAAGTTTAAAATAAATCACATAACTCAAAATAATTGCAGGATTTTTTCCCCCCCGAAGGATTATATTAAGTAGTGGCCTTCAGATAATGGCTTTATATGATGTAATTCTTATTTAACAGAGTTTTCAAGAATTCCCTTGTCGCTTAGGTGTAAAGGTTCCATATGTGAATTAAGAGTACCTGTGTGCCCATGTAATTTAGAAATATGTTTTAGAATTATAAAGATATTATATTATATTATATTATATTATATTATATTATATTATATTATATTATATTATTTTTACATAATAGCACCAAATGCCTCTTAAGCCTCAGGAACAAGAAGTAGAATTTTTTTTTTTTTTTTTTTTTATCAAGGATGTATACCTACAGACAACTCTTTTATTTTGACTCTCTAAGTCCAGTTCTTAGGACAGGGAGAAAAAATATAGCCACACTATATGATAAATCTCATCCAAAAGTACATATCAAAAAAAAAAAATTGGATGATCACACGTTAGACAGTCCTAAAAATCTCTCCTATGACTGCCAATTTAGAAGTTACTGCTTTGAAAGGCAGTAATTCTTATTATGGTTTCATAATAATGGCTGCTCTTTGACTCTGAGAAGTATTAATTTGGCAGAAGATTTCAAAGGAGATTAAGAAATTGCCTTTAAAACTGCAAAAGGTTTGAGCTTCTCATTCCAAAGGCTCCTTTGAAAGTGCTAAGCTTTGATTTTGTTCAGAACTTTCATCTTTACCCTGAAATTGTAGTTTTCCTTCTGTTTAGCACATTTTTTCTTTCTCATCTTCAGTGGTGCTGCTCACCAGTAATTACTGACAACACCTGGCTTTAGAATACAGGTGTGTCCCAGGAAAAGAAAACAATTTTTTCCCTTCTGAGTATATCTGCCTTGTTCCTCACTTCATGGCATTGCAGAATTTGAGCTCAGTAAATAATCATGGTCCCAGTGCCCTCCTTCCTTCTACTCTGTTGGTGTTGCTCCAAGAGCTGCTATAGCTGCAAAAAGCATTGTATTAGGTAGATATCTAAACCAGGGATGTGGCTAGTAAAAACAGCATTTTGGAAAGAATCATGAGCAATTGCAAATCATATGGTAGAGGTTCTGCAGATATGTGTAGTTACAGACTGAAAAATGACAAAAAGCAACCATCTGAATTAATTTTCCACTTAACTGCTTTAAGAAATCAGGCAACACTGAGAGTAAAGCCCTAAGAAATTCAAAGTGGCACTCAAATTTTGTCTTTCTTCCAGAGTTGTTTCCATGAGGGAACTTTTGGGTTTTCCAATAACCTACATTTTTTATTACCCCTATAAAAATGTGTTAGAAGGCAACCTACAATACATCTGAGATTGGATTTGCCTTTGTCTAGAAATATTTCCCCATTACCTTTAGGAAGAGCTTTTTTCATGCCCTTTAACTCTAAATGAAGATCCAACATCCTCTCCTTAGAGAGCAATATGCTCAATATTTCCCTGAAAGTTTAGCTTCCTGAACCTTCCAACTATATGTTTTACTCTTTTCTAACCAAAGCTGTTTCTTCTATCTGGAGAAATATAAAATTACTACAAGAACAAAAAATTTTAAAAGCCAAAATATCTAAGTGTTTATTTCACCTTTTTCTACTTATCATTACTGATAGGCACCAGCAGATTGCTGTTAAAAGATTATTTTCATGGAGTCTCTGAATTTTGAAAAGAAATCCACATAGTGGTAACTAAGCTGGTAATGTTTTAGAATTTTGACTACCATATGTGTCTAGTGCAAAGGAAATGGGAGAACAAATTAAATATAGATTATTCATAGAGCATAACTGTAGATTATTCATAGAGCATAACTGTAGCAAAATAAGGCCAAGAATTTTTACGCCGTTCTTCAAGTGACTTCTGTCATTGAACTTTGGGTGTGATGATTTTGATTTGTAACAATTTCCCAAAGAGTGGGCTTTACATCATCAAACCTGCATGCAAACCCTGTTTTTGTCATAAGAGACAGTGTTTTGGGCTTTTAGGAAAGAGATTTTGATATCTTGCTGTTCATGTTGATATCTTGATACAGTTCCTCTGGGTTTGGGAAGTCTACCTGAGCAGTGAGATATCTAAGAGTAGTATGTATGAAAAAAGGGATTGCAATTCAATGAGATGCAGAGAACAACAAAACCCAGCCAAAACCATTGGAAAAAACCCCTTCTAGAACTGATAATACCATTCTAGAGTTCAGAACATTCAGTTTCTAGAATACATTTAACTCCAGTGCTTAAAGATGTGTACACACTGTTACAAAAGGTTTATGTCAAATTTCTTTGGCAATTTTACAAGCTGAAAGTTAGACAAATAGATCATCTTGATTAATAATCTTGATTAAAATAATTTCATGTTGCTTCTGAACCTATCATTCAAACATTCAGTGACTTCAATGACTTTACTGAAGTCAAATAATAGATTTTCAGTTTTGAGTTTATGTTTCCTTTGTTGCCTTAGGGTGCCTCAAGGGTTGTCCATTAAACTGAACTTCACTTCTTTTGAAACACAACCATATGCAGACGAGCTGAGTATTTTTGAAGGATTAGGACAAAACAAAGTTTTAAGAGGTAAGTTTATTTTTCAGCTAATAATATTAAAATCTTAAGTGGTAAAATAAGCATTCTGAGGTATCAAAAGCTGCACATGTATGTTTAAAAGGAAGACTGGATTTGTGTAAAGTTGCACTTTTAGATATTGATTTCAATGTACCCATCTTTTAATTTGACCAGATAAAACCCTTATACATTATGAAATTTTTTATTTGTTTTTTTGAGATCTTATTGAAATGATCTTGATAATTTTATCAGCCTCATAGTCTTGTGGGGTCCATGTTTCATTGGAAATATATTGTCAGAAGTTCCTGTAATATCACACACAGTAACATAAAATGAAAGCAGCTAAACTGAAAAAGTGGGAGAATTGCTACAAAACTTCCTGAAAATCTTTACAAGTATTTGTAAATACATTGTTTTCCTCAGGTCTTGAAATACTGATGATACCTTGTCTCTATATTCTACTCTGAAAACTGGGCATGTACCCATTTTTCATAAGAATCAGTCTCTACAGCTGAATTCTATGAGAGATGGAAAACATATTCTGAAGATAGACTGTAGGAAGATAAGTATATCAGAAAGATATAGTACTATTTATCCTTATTTTTGGAAATAGGTAGAGAATGGGAATGAGAAATGGCAAAAGACTAGCTGGTATCCATTTTGGTGGATATGAGAGATGGAATATGCAGAATATTTATATGTCAGCCAAACAGCTAAATGCTTCAAGAGTTTGAAGCTATTCTAGCAGGATCACAGTACAATAGGAAAAGCATTCCTTAAGACTCAATAAACTAATCCACTGTGGTTTTGTGTCAACACTGGAAATTTTAATGTGCCTGTGATTATTTTCTCTCTGACTTTATGTTTTTTTATTTGTTTTCAGCTTCTCTGTCAGGGACCAATCCTGAAACAATTTACATTTTTTCTCATGAGGCTACAGCACTGTTTATGTCTGATTATGCAGAGAATTATAATGGCTTTAATGCAACATACACTGTATTTAATGCAAGTGAACTAAACAGTAAGTGTTCTCTCTGTGTGTGTCTGTGTATGTGTCTGGTTTTGTTGTTTATTTTTTATCCCAAAATTTTGGTGAATCTACACTTTCAGTTTGAGAAAACGGCAGTGGAAAGGGAAGCAGCATTTTCTGGCCTCAGTCCAATATCTAGACCCACTTTGAATAAATTCATACTGTTTTAAATATCAAATAAATTATTCCTGTAAGGCCGTTCACAGGTTTACAGGCCTGTATCTAGCAGTAGAGTGATGTCTTACAAAATTCATCTGTGTAAATAAAACTGTGTCTGCACCTCCATCAGATTCCTCTCAGCCAGTTTGTTCACTAAACAACACTATGAAATCATTGACCACAATGTCTTTATAAAATAAAACGTTCAGAACAACATCTAGAAACAACATTCAGGAAAAAACACTTAGTTGAGTAATTTTGTTGCATTTCCTAAAGAGGAAATTAAGTCACTGTAGGCTGGTTTGCAAGCATATTTAAAAATTGACATTATTCATCACTGCTCCCCATGTAATTCTAAGAAAAAACTCACCATCTCTGTCATCTTTTATTTACTAGAGGTTCTTATTCACAGATTATGAGAAAATCAATTGCACTTTTGAAGATGGCTTTTGTTTCTGGATACAAGATTTGGATGATGATTCAGACTGGGAGAGAGTTCAGGGTCCCACCTTTCCCTTGATGAGTGGTCCTGAATTTGATCATACATTTGGCAACTTGTCAGGTAAGATCAAAAAAGTGGCTTGAAGACTGAAGCAAAAACTTGATTTAACTTATGTCACTGCATTATGGATTCTTCATAGTGATATTACTAAGATGTTGTGTTATTCTGCCATAAAAATGTCAGGGCTACCAAATATAATGTTTGATCCTTCTGATTGCCATCTTGTGAAAACATACCAAAACTAAAAGAAAAAAAAAAAGCATAAGTAAAATAATTTGAGTGCAAGGTGCTAAAAATTTCAATGCTTTTATTACACCAAAATGCCTTCTCTGAGAAAGGAATTTCTATTGGGCAAAAATGTTATAGGTCAAAATCCTACATGTATAACTTGAGGGGGAAAAAAGACTATAATTGCGTTATTAGGCAAATCAGTTCTGTTTCATCCCTCTCTCCTGCTGACATCCTCATGGTAGTCACAAAATAATTTTGATTTGAATAAAGCTGACCTGTAGTTTACAGGGGGCATCTGTGTCCCTGGTTACTGCACAGCAAACTCACCAACTGTGCCAAACACACCACAAACACTCCAGTAACTGTCACAGTTAAATAACTTAATTGGAAGAGTGGTCATATCAAAAGTGGAATCTATTTAAAGAGACAATACTGATAGGAATTGGATTTTGAATGTATCATGAATCCTTATATCTGCATTAGACTCCATAAGTGTTTTTCTATTTTAATAATAAAGCCAAACAATCACTGTCCCAGCTGATTTGTCAGTCCAGCTAAAACAACATAAAATACAAATTGGGTTTTGCAATGTTTATATATATTCTATGCAAGACTTACATAAAATTTATTCAGTGACAAATGAGTGGGAAAATTGCAAATTATTCTGAAAGAAGTTACTCCTGAGAAAAGAAAAATAGTATTCTGCACTTTATCAGGTAGAAATTATTCACCCCTCTCTGAGTGAAAGCACATTTTCTAAACAATCTTCAGAACACTGTTTTGTCTTCCCATTGGGCTCCTAGAATGCAAATCAGATGAAAGAATGTGATTTTTTTTAAACAAAACACTTGACGAGGACTTCTTTCTCTCAAAAATATTAATGCATTTTAGGTGCTCTCAGTTTTACTGTGCCAAGTCTAAGCTGACATATGTAATGTTCCTGACATGTGTAATGTTACCATTGTATTGCGTATTTAAATTTCTGACCTGTATTTTGAGTAAGTGATATCATAAATATCAAGCTATTACATTCAGTGCAACACTTTTTTTTTTGTTTTTTCTGCTTCTGAAAAGTAAAGGCCTTAATACACATTCAAAAATTGTTTCTGAATGCTCAGAGAATTGATGAAACAAAGAGAGAGAATTGTCCCTTTGACTATGTGAAGAGCTTTTTTCTTTAAGTTAGGCACCATGTCTATTTTACTGCAGGCTCTCTAACTCAAGAGAGATAATTAAAGGCCTGATTCATATTTCAGATTAATTTTCAGGAATTTTAGCCTCCCACATGAAAAAAACTAGATAATCTGGAAATATAAATAACAGAATACAGTGTATATAATTTAATTCATATAATTATATTAATTTGAAAATTCTGGTAATATGATATTTGCATATATATGTATTAGTTAGATAGAAGAAAATACAAGATTTTACCCATTATTTAAATAAAGCAGTAATTTTATTTTAAAGCTGCCTAAGCTTGCATTTCTTATGACAAATCTCAGTGTTTCTATGGCCTGACCTCATAGGGCAACAAGAAGTCCAAATTCCCAGCTGCAACAAGTTATCTCAGAAAAAAGCTACAAACCTTATTTCACAAATAAAGGAGGGTTTTTTTTTGTTGTTTGTTTGTTTATAATGCCTCACCTTGCTATAAAATATTCACATGGTCATTCTGTCACCCTCTCACCACACAATCCATATTTGCCATTGTCTTGTCATTTGTGGATACAAATTATATTATTATGAGAAGTTTTTCAGCAAAATCACTATCAATGTCAAACAGGAAGCCATTTTTATAAAGGCAGGAGAATTGCTCCCTTCACAGAATATAAGGCAGGATTCCCACTGACTTGGAAAGGACTAATTTGCCATTGCTCATCTAGTTCTGAGGAGTATCCAAGAAGCTTAAAAGCTCCATTTAATATCTCATTGATTGATGAATATATCTTGGGATAATCCCTCACATTTACTGTCTCGGGAATCTTCCAAATCATGCAGCACTGTCTATGCTTGATGTCATTTTAAATATAAAAACTCTAACTCAATAAGTAAAAAAGCAAAAAACAAATTTCTTCTGTCCTGGCTAAAGTGTGACCATTATCTTGCAGGATTTTATATTTCAACACCCATTGGACTTGGATTCATAGAAGAGCGGGTCCGGATTCTGAGCTTGACTTTGGTCCCTTCAGACATCTATTGTCTAAGCTTCTGGTATTGTTACATAATTCTATATTTTGTATACCTATATTTTGTTTAAGAATATACCCAAAGAGCTTTCTTTCATTTAAAATATTATTCCCACTCAGTGTGCCAGCAGCACCAGCCTGGTTCTGTTTGGATTTCCACAATCAGTCTCAGCTCCAGGCCTGAAGTTTAACTCCTGCATAGCTTTGACTTTTGCAGTTAGCTATGATGTATTTTCTTTTTCGCCCTGCGTCCAATATTGATTTCTATGCAAAAATGATATAAAGAATCCCTGAAATGGTTTTTCTCATGAAGCTTAACTAGGCCTCTACACTTCCATGTGTGGTTTAAACCTACAAATATTATTTTCGTGCTTGCTTCAAATTAATCCTGATTTCATGAAACGTTATAAAATAAAAAGAGTGATATTTTTTCTTGGAATCTGACTTGGTTCTAATAATACCAAAATGCTTTTCCCCCTCTAGGTATTTCATGTATGGGGATAATGTTTACCGTTTAAGAGTCAGCATAAGCAACGAGCGTGGTCAGGAAAAGATAATTTTCGAGAAAGAAGGAAACTATGGAAACAACTGGAATTATGGACAAGTAACTTTAAATGAAACATCTGATTTTAAGGTGTGTTAAGCTGCTTTTTCTTTTATTTTTTTCATTTATTTTAGCTAAACTGATATCAGAAATTTTTGTGAAATGAATCCAAAATTCCACTGTTCCAAAGATAATACTTAGTATCCTTTAAAAATGCCTGCCATCAAATAAATACTAGCAGGCAGAAGACTGGACTCCCCTTTTGAATTCTCACAGTGTGTTTTCCCTGCCCTGGAATTTAAAGTATTAATATTGTCAAGGAACAATGAATATTATCATGAGAGCTTTCCACAAAACAAGAGTGGTCAAAGCCTATCAAAATCTGCTGTGGCATATAAAATCTCAATAGTGAGGGTGATGTGAAGCGTTTAGCCATGAGAAAATTTCAATTTAAATTACTTCAGATTGTGAATCAGTGTTTTCACTAATTACTTACAGATTAATCCACTGAAAGTGTGTTGCAGATGGAAGTGCAATGATTAACAACTGACTTTGACTTATCTGTAAACAAAAGGATGAGGTTTATCCCAGACAATTCTTTCAGCACCTCTCTTTTGAAAACAATTTCTTTTTATAGGCATTTGGGATGGTTTGCCTTGCTACAGTAGTTTTGATTGATTTCTGGCAAGCACTGCTAGAAAGATGCATTTAACATCTGAGGAATAAATGCATCTGTGACCTGGCTGCATCAGATTTCCAGGAAATCTGCAACCACATATGATCTCAAAAAGATTGCTAAGCCTAACTGTAGTTCACCAGCACTAATTCTTTGTTTGCAGGATTACTTTAAATAAGTGGATATTAAACAACAGTAAAGAACAAATGAGTTTAATTTTAGCTTTTTGTGCCATTAGTTCAGGAGAAGTTTGGGCTGATGAGCAATGCAGAACTGCTTTTAAAATTACATTTTAAAAATAGATACAAAAAGGAAAGGTATTGAATATTTTTGAATCATGACCATCATTTTAGTGAAGAAGCTACTACATTCTACTACATAGAATGATCCACTCAGTTTGCATAGTGCTGTTTTGTTTTGTGAGAAATTCTGTCTCATCCCCCATGAGACAGAATTTCACTGCAAACCTTCGCCTGAGTGTAGCACCAGTGTAGACTACAGTGGAAATAAGAGTATTCAAGCAAAGACAGAATGGTACAGTGTAGGAAGCTGAAAATGGTTCATTAAATTATAAAATTCTGATTTTTTTTTCCTGAATTCAGGTTATTTTTGATGCCTTTAAAAGGCGTGGTCCCAGTGACATTGCCCTGGACGACACTGGCCTGACAAAGGGAAAGTGCAACGAAGACAATTATGTAGAGCCAACTGTGAGGCCAACTACTGCCACCACCCCGTTGGCTCCCAGTAAGTCAACAGCAAATCACTGTTAATTTCCTCTTGATGCATCTGAGTTTGAGTGGATCAGAATTTTAAACCTCAGTTTTATCAAAGCCTCTTATCCGCATTATAACGTTATCTCTGGAATAACACACTAAGATCAAGCTCCATTCTTCTCCAGACAGGTTGTACAGTTTGAGCCAGACCCCTCCAGCTGCAGAGTATTTTAGAAATTTAAGCTTCCTCAAAACATTCCAGTTTCACAGAGCTAATCAGGAAAATCTGACAGAACAAAAAAAATCAAACAAACAAACAAAAACAAACAAACAAAAAAACCCCCAGAGAAAATGCCTGTAACTATCCTTATAAATCTGAATAACTTATATAAAAGGGAGAGGAAACGTTGTATATGATGATAAAGAAGTCCAAGCCCATTCAATGGAAAAGGAAACAAAAAAAAAATCAAAATCTGATAAAATCTAAAAAATCTGATATTTCAATGATTTTTCCTTGTGGAAAAATCATTAACATATCAGATGGGGTTTGCTTTGTCATTTATTCTGCAAGTGGATGAACTTTTGGCCAAAAAAAGAAATTCTACAAAAGGCCCGTTCAGATAGAACTTCAAATCATTAAAGCAAAAATTGAGCATGTTCCTTTTATTAGATTTACTGTGTCTTTCAAAGCACAGCTGGTTTCTCTCTTGACAACATAAAAAATTTTTTAAATAGTCTAAATGGTCTAAAATTAAAATAATAGTAAGACTGTTCACATTGTATTCATGTTGAAACACTGTATACTATTATTATTCTCTCAAATCTGTACCTCCAAATCTACTGCATCAGGACAGGTAAGCAAAAACCTTTTAAATAGAAGAGTAAAATGCAGTTTCAGAGCTCCATCATGAGACATGAGGAGGTAAAGTTCAACAAGGTGTGTCTGTCAAGCAAAATGAAATTTTAATAACAGTAGTAATTTCAGTCCTAGTTTCTCAAAATGAGTTTTGGAATTCAATAGCAGTTTTTATTAAAGTAATTTTGTGGAGAGATGCTGATGCCTGCCCCCTCCAGATAGCCTTCAGGGTAAACACACCTCACAGGTCAGCAGCACTCATGATTAGTGGTGGAACAGCCCTGTGCTAAAAGTGGCTGAGTGCTTCTGGGAAACACCAAAGGAATATCAAATTATACATCTCTACCCAGTGCATGGCCATAAAATGTTAGCATTCAAAAAAGGGACATGGTAATATGGCTTATAACTCCTTATGAAGGAGATTAAAGAGATCCATGGTACAAAAGGAGAGCCTAAACTGGGGAAAAAACAACTTTCATAATTTTATTGGTACATGCTGCTACATGCCATCTGTAACCTGATGAAAAAAAAGTGAATGTTATCAATCATCTTCAAAGCATGAAATGACTTTGATGAATGTGTACAAGCTTACTAACACTAATGATTTCACTGCAAGTGTCATGTCCATAAACAAGACATGAAAGAATTTGAGCTGAGTCAATTTCTTTTACTAGAATTAGAGCTTCAGTATGAGTCACTGGCATCATTCACAGTGCCACAAAAGCTCCTTGAAATGTAAAAAAGGGCATTTTTGATGGTGGCATGGGAAAGCCAGATTTGCTTTTGTCTTTTGTACAAGTCTGTCACCTTACACTTTCATCTAAAACAAAGATTGCTTTCATCTTCATGTTAATTTATAATCTATCTTTTAACACAAACAACAGTGTGGAAAAGTGTACATTCCATACTTATGTCAATTATAAACTGAAATTTAGACCAAAGAACAGAGATACAGGTCATATAAAATTTCTGAAATGTTGAGAAAAGTTGTGCTCTCTCACATCTCTTGTGCTCAACCAAGATTGTTGGTAGTGATTACTATTTGGTTCTCTAATATGCAACAGCTGTATGAATAACTCCTTATGAATTTATGTTCAAAGATCACTGGAAATTTTTAAAACATTTTTTCAAGACATGAGTAAATTCAATTTCTTTTCTCATTTTTCCATGATAGACAAAGATCACTACTAATGTGGCTTATGTGTAGTCAAGACCAGATCAGATTTCACGAGCCATGATATTCCATTAAAAAAATGTAATCTTTATCTGCCGTCCATGGTATTTATAGAAAATAATCTTCCTTGTGAGCCATATGGCTAAAACATAATATAATTATTAGTCAGGGTAAGATTGTTAGCAGTTCCTTTTCCTTTCTGAGCTTTTGGCTTTTCTTGCCAGGAGTGATTCAGTGAAATAGAAAGTTCTAGAAAACGGCTGTTGTGAGGAAGTTCAAATGTTTCTTGGTTTTGGGGTTTTGGTTCTTTTTTTTTTTTTTTTTTAGCTTTCTGCCAATGGGATTCAGTGGTCAGATTTGGCAAAATTTATAGATTATGCAGTCCCCAGCTAAGGGGGTCAGAGTGTGAGATGCTATCAGACATCATGGCATGCAAATTTGAGCCCATAAGGGGTGGGGAGGAGAGAGTTAAAGTTTAGCCAAAGTCTGAGAGGTAAAAAAAAAGACAAATGCAACAATTTTAATTCAAGTAATAAAACATTAAAAAAACCAACCAGACAAACAAAAACACAACAAACAAATAAGATAAAGCTGTTTTGCCTTAACTACGATTTCCTGAAGCAAGTGGAGGAGCACTGTTGATTTTTGAATGAGGTAATTGTGAGCAACAAAATTGGGAAGACACCAAAGTTTATTCTCATGATTCATGTAGTCATTCTGATGGCTAAAATGAAAAGAAATAATATTTCCCAATATCAAGTAAAGTTTTTGAACACAAAGCTGATATATTTGGGATGTAAACCACCATCAAAATTATAACTGAAACAGAATATTGATTATATAAAGTACAGTTAGATGTGTCCTTGTTGTGTGTGTTTATGTGTACAATATTTGCTTTTACTGAAATTTTATTTATTTTTATATGTAAATACATATGCATCTTGATGACAAAGGTCTTTCCTACTAGAACAGTTGTTTTAAGGAAAAAGCAAATGACTGGTTTAACTACTGAGAAGGTTTAACTGTAAAAGGTTTTGGGGTCCTGAAGAAAACAAAGGAATGGTTTGTGGGTTTTTGCTGGAAGTTTACTTGCTAGATGACAAAAGGAGCTTTAGATTTGGGTATCTCTGCTGATACTGCAAGAATAATTTCTCCACCAAAAGAGTGGTCAGGCACTAGCTAGGTCCTAGTTTTTTATACTGTAAATGAGGCGCATGACTGTATCATATTCTTGTCTTCTTATTTCTGTCATGGTTACGTGTGCAAACCAATAATCATGAATATTACTTTTAGAAATTATCATTGTTACCACAGATTAAAGTATTAAGACAGCAGGTTAATTGTGTTTTTGAAATGTTTTCTTTTCCAGCTGACTGTGGAGGGCCGGTTGAACTCTGGGAGCCAAACAGTACATTCAGCTCTGCAAACTTTCCAAACAATTACCCTAATTTAGCTTCTTGTAAGTCATTCTTTTCCAAATCTTTGGGAGAAGTTTAACCATATAAAAGTAGAGATACTAAATCTGCTTTTCCAACTCAGACCCTGTCAAACAAACAAAAAAAAAGATCTAAGGTATATACAGTGGGATGTTTTAACTGCATGCTATATGGTACTGAGCTGAAGCTAAGGAATTATGCGCCAGCTGATTAAAAAGGGATCATCCCTTTTTATTTTATATATAAGACAAGCATAATCCAATGGAACAGGTCCAGACAGGCCAATTCCATCCTGCCTCTGATGTCAAATGTCTTCATGTCAATGCAGCAGCGCATAAGGTGATGAAAGTCCCCATTTTACCATAACCTGGTGTATCTGCCAGGTTAATATCATCACTTCTGCTGTTAAATAGCTCACATTTTCTAAAGGCAAAGAATATGTGCATGCATTTTGTAAAGAATTCTCTCTGTATTGAATGTTTCTTAGCATACTAGTGAGAAGATGTTATTCTGCTGATGTTACTTGATTTAGATTAAATGAGAGCTGGCAGAAGTGAATGCTTCAAGGAGGTTCACTATGTCTTGTTGATGGATAAAGCAAGAAAGACAGCTTTGTCATTGCTTCTTAATGAAATTTTAATTTTTTATCCCTTCAATTCTGGAGAATTGTGCTGGGATGGTAATCATAAGAGTTGTCATTTTGTGTTTCTGCTCTGCTTGAGATATGGCTCACATTTCCATGATTCATTCCACAAGTTCCCAAATGAGATTCCTGCTCATAGTAAGAAAATACTTTTCACTCCATGGAATTATTTTTTTTTACTTTACAAGATTTGTATAGTATCCACACTTAGATTAAATATGAGAAAGTATAGACTAAACAGAAGCAAAGAGCTATTTTAACTTCAAAGACAGGCTTCTGTGACTGATTATAAAAATTATCTTACTATCAAATGAGACTTAAGTGACAAGACTATTTGTCACATTGTCACTGTCAGAAAATAGTGGGATATACTACCTTGAGAAAACTCACAGCTGACATGAATGATTAAAAACACATGTATATATGTTGTAGAAGCCTAAAATTAGTTTTTGAAAATGTTTTAAGAATGAGGAACAATCGAATTTTGGATCTTGACAGCTTTTAAATACAAGATTTAAACTTCTTAATTTCTTGAGTGATTAATAACAATTTAGGAGATTCCCCCCCCCCCCCCCCAAAGCCCTTCAACAGGAAAATTGCACAGTAAATGTAACTACTGAAAATGTGATTTATATGTGTGTGTGTTTTACTATTTTCCAGGTGTGTGGTACTTGAATGCTGAAAATGGAAAAAACATCCAGCTTCACTTTCAGGTCTTTGATCTGGAAAATATTTATGATGTGGTTGAAATCAGAGATGGCAGAGGACCAGATTCTTTACTTTTGGGCAAGTAGCAGCAGTGGGGACTAAAATGAATGTAATCAGACAGCTGGAGCAAACTGATGGATATAATATCATGGAAATTAAATTCCTCTCATTTCATTCGCATTTTTTGGGCCTCATTTCAGAGGAAATTCAGAGAAAAAAAAAATTGAGAAATCACACTTTATGTGACATCAGGATTCCAAAACATTTGCACACATACTCAGCTCTCCATGCAATCTGTGTGAGATTAAATTCTCAGGGAGTCAGACTGTTTATGTGTGTGGACAAACTGATGGAAAATCTCTTAGCCGAACCTTATTGCTCTATGCTGATTAGTCAAACCTGGTGTTGGGCTCTGACCACAGCAGTCTGAGTTAGGTTTGGGGGAGCAGCTACATCCCTGTGGTGGCAATATTTGCTTGTGAACCCAGAACATTTTGAAATACACATGAACAAAATATGTTGAATGTACTCATGTTTTCCTGGTGAACAGCTGTCTACACAGAGAGAGGCCCTCTGCCAGATGTCTTCTCTACAACAAACCAGATGACAGTGATCCTCCGGACAGACAAGTCTTCAACTGGGAAGGGATTTCTTGCAAACTTCACCACTGGCTACCATCTGAGTAAGCATCTGAACCTTTGTAATTATGAGGTTAAACCACTGGCCAAATGTATTTCAGAAAACGTGGGGAGTGCAAAGTGACTCTCAGCACTTGCTCAGTAGAAAAAATGGAAATGTTAAAGCGAAAAAGGCTGGTTACCCATCTGTACTTTACATTTCCTGGCAGGAAAAGTGATGGGTTTATTTCTTAGTGTAACTGGAGCAATGTCTAGATCATGCACAGTTCTGTGATATTATGCGGAAAATTGAGTCATTATTTTGACCAAAATCTTTTCAGATGCTCAGAGGGCAAATACTAACTATTCCCTATTAAAAAAAAAAACAAAAAAACAAACACAACAAAACCAAAACAAACAAAAAAAACCCCCACACACACAAAAAAAAAAAAAAAGAGCAAAAAAAAAACCCCACAAAAAAACCCAGGAAAAAATATCACTTTTTAAATCATTTCAGTGTGTCATTAAAGTGTGTTTAAATGCATTTGTAAAATATTTACTATTTATAACATGCACTAGAAAAGAGAATATACCACTGTATGTGGTAGCTCTGATCAATATTGTAATATGGTCTTTCTTGCATCTCTAAAAATTTGGTCTTCAGTGTGTGAATAATCTAAGAACTAGTCTCCTAAAGATTTGGGCAGCAGTGTTTCTGGTTCCAGCCAGATCCCTTCTGGAAGGCTTTTGATTTTCTTGGGGACTGCAATTAGACTTGTCACTCATAATTCAGCAATCAACTCACCAAAATATGCAAAATGAAGCATAATGTAAATTACATGGAACAGTAATAAGCTTAGCAGGACATATAATTATACAAACACTAGGCCACATCTTGACTGCATTAATTAGAGGCTTTGTATTACTTCTATGGAAGTCTGACAGGAGAAGAACAGAGAAAAAAAAAGCAGTATGTATTGAGAGATGTGTGTAGTACCATGCACTTACCTGAACAGAAGATCAGCAAGGATCTAGGCTCTTTTTCTTACTTTAACTCTCAGAAATCTCTCAAGTTTCTCCCAGCTTGTTTAGCCAGTGGCAGATTTTCATGGATTCACAATAGTAACAGTAATATTACTTTTATTAATCTTTTTTAAAATCTTCACCTTTGGTCTACATTTATAAAATTGACTCTGTTTAATCCCATTGTGCAAGACTGAGAGGTTAGTTTAAATGTCCATATGAAAATTTTGCTGCTTCTTTTTCTGCCTTATCAATCACATTTGCTCAGTCCAACAACTCTCTGCCTTTTTCTTTTTTAGCTGGTTCAGCATCTTTGCTGTGCCAGCCTTGCCCACACTTTGTAAAATGAAAATTAAGCTTAGCAAGGCAGAATTCTCAGAGTTGCCATTGCCAGTTCTGGTTAAATATATTTTAAATGTTCCATTTGCAAAAGAATTATGCTTATTCACAATCTTTGCAGCCAAAGGAGAGAGAGTAATATCATTAGCATGCAGGCTTAAGGACAAAAGGATTGTCAGTAAAAAAATTAACTTTAAAAGAAATCAAATTTTTCTTTGTGTTTTATTTTTTCTATGAAATATTGGGTTTTGGAAAAGTAAGACTTATTTGAACAGAAATAATTTTTGGCAGTATGCAATATAATAAAAATACCTTCAATCTTAAAAGTTAAGAATTAACTTTTGTGAACACTTTCAATTAAGAATTAAGTTTTTATCTGTCATTAGTTATGGACACTGAATGTTTGAAAATCTGGTTCAAGCTTTTTATAAACCATATTCTTCTGCTTCCATTTGGTACAAACCATGCTGATTGATGAATGAATCATTTTACAGGAATATTAAAAATTCAGAAGTAAAGCGATTATCTGGCTTTAAATAAGACTTCTAGATAATCAAATATTTCTGTCAGTAAGTCCAGGAAGGTAAAATAAACAATTTTTTGAATTTAAGTTTATGGCTGTATATCTCCTGTAATACAAATGAAGCCATTAAAAATACACTTTGGCTGCAGAAAGAATTATAATTTTACATTTACTCTTTCCCTCATTTGTTTTTATTGTATAACTGATTCTGAAGCAGCTTTTATGAACACTTCCCTCATTCATTTAATTTACTTTTATTTCTTCCACCTTTCCCAACAAATAAATTTCAGAGAGAGACTCTCAACTCTCATTGCCTCTTTGCTCATGTGCTTGATTTGACAGAGCTTAAGATCTCTAAAATTTGCGAAAGTGCTGAACATTTGAAAATTGAAATCATTAGCCACTTTTGACAGGATTTGACTTTTCAATCCCATGTTTATCACTTGCAATGGAAGAACACTACTAACTGAGCAACACTAACTAGAGCAGAAAGTATAAGGCAGAGTACCACAGATTTTATTCTTAATTATATTCTATTTATCTGAAAATTATCTTTATTTTGAAAGAGAGATGGGTGGAAATGGAAATAAAAGGAAATCAAAGGTTCTTCATAATATCTACACAGTTTTCTTCAGGTGAACTGTAAGACCTCCTGTGAACATCAACCTTCCTCACAACTACAGAATAATTTTTCTCTCTTGTTTCCCTTCAGGGGCTTGCACAGTTGATGAGCACCAGTGTGGTAGTGGGAAATGCATCCCATTGCACAACCTGTGTGACAACGTCCCTCAGTGTGAAGATGGCTCTGACGAAGCAAAATGCAGTAAGGCTTCCTTCTTACAAAGAAATCATAGAATAATTTGGGTTGGGAAAGATTATTAAGATCATCAATTTGAATCATTAATTCAGCACTGCTAAGTTCACTGATAAACCACGTCCCCCATTGCTACATCTCCACATCTTTTAAATCCTTCCAAGGATGGTGACTCCATCACTTTGCAGGTTGACATGCTTAGCAGCCCTTTTGGTGAAGATATTTTTCCTAATATCAAACCCAAGCCATCCATATTTGGCAGGAATTGCCAGGAAAACAGCCACAGAAGCTCAGCTGATGTAGAGCACTGCAGGCCATGCCAGTTTCCACAGCAGTACCTCACTGAGTTTGTCAGGGCCAGGAAAACAGTCACTTTTCTGAGATAGTGCATGGAATCTGATGAAGAACTCTGGAAAAGGTAGGAAGCTTCTCTGCGCTGAAAACTGTAGTTGTTTTTAATGGCCTCAAAATTAAATGAAAACTCACCATATGCTTTTCTTCTGTATTCATTTTGTATTTCCAAATTATACTGGGTTTTGCTGTAATTAATTAGAGTAAAAATTCTGCAGTGCAGGGTAGAGAATAAACGTGTTCTTGGTGGAAATTCCCAAATAGTTTTGTGGGTGTGAAGCCAAACTATAACACATGGCACCCTCCAGCCCACCTGGACTCCATGGGGTGAATGGATGGCACAGCTTCAAAAACGGCATCCACTGTTCACTGCTATTCCTTACTTCTCTGGGAAAGTGGTTCTTTCCAAAGAAATTCCAAGATGCAAATTTCCAAATTCATTCCAAAATGCATGTGTACAGTATCTGAATTCATTTTACATAGCAGGGAAATAAATAATTTAAATGTAAGACTAATGCTAAAATCATGTTTGGCCTAGCACAGCAGTTAAACTGTTCTTTCTGACAATCTACTTTGGAGAACTAAAGGAAGATTTAAAGGTGGTCTTTAAGCTTAGCACAATTCCTTTGTTTTAAGGAGCTCTACTAGGGGTCAGATATGTTTTAGATATGTGCTGACAGTCAGTTGCTGATTTCAAATTTTTTTGACATGCATATATATAAAAATATACATGGCATATGCAAATACATGTAGATAGATGATAGATTAGATAGATAATAGATAGATAGATGTCTGAAGACACAGATTCACTCCTCAAATTAGTTCCATTGGCTATTTTGTGGCAAAATAGCCACATATTCTTCCTTTAAAATGTATAGAATAAAATTCACTTCAGTTTTCTTCTTAAGAAAAAACTTGAATTTATTTTTTCCATTCATTGCTGAAGAAGATCTGAACAAGAAAACCATCACCTACTTTAACATCACGTACATTTTCCCAAAGATTTCTTTTGCCACTGATTGTCTATTACTTCATAACAAATTACCTCACATGAAAAGCCTGGGAGATTTGTTTCCAAAAATCCATTTAATCCAAACTTTGGCTAAATCGATCTAGGTCTTAAAAGAAAATGAAAATTCAATTAGAAACTCTCACATTGAGTCTTTCCAGTGTCCAAAAGCCTTGCTCATTTTCCTGAAACCAATTTCAATGACTTATCAGAAGCGGCAACTTGAACTAGACAAACTGTCTTTTCAAATCTTCCAACTTCTGAAACTTCCAGGGATTGCAAAGAAATGCCAAAATTTTAAAAGATATGATATCTGAATTAAGCAGTTGTTGGATCCTCAATGACTTTATTATTTCTTACCAATAATGTATTTGGATAAGAACATGGGTCTGATGAGGACAAAGGAAAAGGACTTACAGTTCAAGTTCTCTCAAGAAGAGAGGTGTCAAAAGTAATTTGGAGAAGTCTTGCAGTGCATACAATTCCAAGATGTTTAAGAAGCTCAAAAATTTAATTTAATTTAATCTAAAATGTACCATTAATTAATGAATCTCTGTAAATCACCTCTTTCATTCATGCACTCCAGGTGTCCCAGAGACATTTCTAGAAATCTAAATGTTTTATTTACTATGATGGGTACTCTGTGAAAGCATTTTGGTGAAAAATGTGTTTTGCGTAAGTAAGATTTTTTAAAAAAAAAATTTTGGAAAACAATAAATGTCAATGCATTGCATGCTTTCCTCTACTTCACAATGGCAATACATGTAATCTGCCTAAAATACAGCTGTAGCTGCTAAGACATATATGAGACTCTGTTGACATTATTATATATAAATCTAAGATTATATAATTAAATTCTTATTTTATGTAGATGTACATACATGAGATTATGTTGGCCATACAGTCCAACTTCCTTAGTCTCTATGCCGACAGCATAAGACTTTTTACCAATAAGTTAATGACTTTCTGAATTCTTGTTCTGAATATTTTCTTTTGGGAAGAGTTTTTATAGAAGGACTGGGTTTTGAGTGAGCTTTAATTATTAGTATGACTGTTTTTACTAAAACTGCAGTGAGAACAGTAGCAATTGGAATTGGAAATAATGTTTTTTTAACCTTATTTCCAGTCAGTATTACTGAGCAATATGGAACTAAGGCTTCACTCATTATTTGGAAATTATATAATGCCAACTAAGAAAAAAATGCATGGTTTAGAGTTGATGGGAAATGTACTGTTTATTGTCTGTTTCTGAGACATTTGCAAAATACAAGGTATGAAACTCTCCTGTGGCAGAAATATAGGAAATAGCAATAGCATTTCCCTCCTGTGGGAGCACAACATCTTGGAGATGCTGGGTTTATGACCTCTGTAAAGCATTTTAACTTTTTTTTGTGTTTTTCATTGGCAATAATAAATCTCTTTATATTACATTTCTGTTTGCTTGGGGTGGAAAGTGGTTTGCCACCTATCTAAAATGTTTCTGCCCATTTTGTTCTCCAGTGAGATTGCTCAATGGCTCTCAGAGCACCGAAGGGCTGGTACAGGCCAGGGTTGGGGAGTCGTGGCACCTGGCATGTGCAGAGGATTGGAGTGGAGAGATTTCAGACAGTGTTTGCCAGCTGCTGGGGTTGGGGTGAGTGATAAATATTCATTGCCCTTTGTGACTTGTTTGCAGATTTGTTGAGTGTATATTGGCATTTTCCTCCTCGTTTCGCTGGTGTACTCTCCAAAAAAACGGCAAATGTATCTGTCTCTGTCAAGTGGAGTGCTTGGTGTGCCAACAAATTTGAGAATGTGGCAAACCCTGTCCTGATGACATTCAGCACAGGATTGATGACTCTGAACATGGCAGGTTGGGCATGAGGATGCATACTGGAGAACACTGGGAAAGTGTTGTGGATCATCACCCTTTTATCACTTTATGTCATCATTTACATCTTCACTTCCATAAGGATAGCTCAAGAGTAAAGCTGGAGCCAACAGCAGCCTTGGCTGCTCTGCTTTTGTAGTGCTGCTCATCATTCCAAGTAGAGATCATCACTTGGATATTCTGCTAGAATAGAATGTAATTCTAGAATTCTGCTGGGTAGAATGGAATTTCAGGGTAGACTTAGAGCAGGCATGGAGTAGGGAAGTATATGGCATAAAAATAGATTTGGCTTTAGTCCCTGTTCAGAAGAATTTTCAGGAGAAACATGGGGATTGTTGAGTGCAGGGTGTGGCATTTTTCAATCTGTGGTAAAATTTATGGCCTAAATTTTGGCCTTACTTACATCATGTGCTACTCTACTTCCATCAACTAAATAATTAGCTTTCCTGCAGTGCTGAGGTTTTTTGGGAATGTCACTTACCCAACCAATAATCAAACTAAACCCTGAGCTTGCAATTCATTATTTTGGTCTGTGACCAAAGAAAGATGCTTACAAATCCCCTTCTGATAAATCAATTGCAGCAATCACAGAGATAGAATGACTTAGAAAAATATCCAAGTATTATTTCAGAAAGGCTTCTAATTGGATTAATGTCTGCTGGTTTATTGGGTTTTTTACTTTTTTCCTTTGGGTGAGTACTGAGTTTACATAAAAATCAGGCAGCTACATGCAGAAATCCTGGCTGTAATTTAGGTATGCATACATGTAAGAACATTCAAAATGTGTGTAAATGTGCTTCTGGTCAAATACCTTGTTCCTTAGAGTGGCCAGCAGCCTTTTTCCTCTGATTCTTTCTGTCCCTGCCCTGCCTCCTTTCCCTTCTGGACAGAAGTAATTTTGTGGTCTGCTGATTTAATTGGCATATTTTATAAGCTTCAACAAGTTTGCTTTCCATGACATTCTAACTTTTAAATATTTGTTAATGCTTTTTTTCCCCCATAACATTCTGCAGCAATATCTTTCAGCTTGTCTCTGTAAACTACTCAGGTGCACTTGCTAAAAGAGCTCCTATCAGGTTTCCTAGTTATTTGTTATAATTCCATTTCTCAGTTTATTACATACTCCCTTTGTCTAGAAAAAATGTTTTTAAACCTAACTTGTATCACATTTTTGTAGCCTGGGTGCTACTGCAGTTACAGCATAGGACAAAATCCTCATATGGGTGTGTCTATATTTATGTATGTATTAATGTATTAATAGGTGTATATATATATATATATATATATATGTATATTTCTGTGTGTGTGTGTTGTGTGTGTAACTTCTGTGAGCATCACACTAGTCTGCTTTCCTTGACTCCCCCTGTAGCAGCATATTTCTCAATAAGAATCACCACATTTGTTACTAAATGGATGTTTGCAATAGCAGGTCCTGAGTAGGCTGTAGCTCATGCTCCTACACTGAATTACTACCTAGAATCATGTTTTATTAGAAAGACAGGCTAAAGTTCGTCTAGGACAATTTAGTTTTACTATTAATTGCTTATACATTTGCTAGTCTCACTTTCTGTTTAGTTTATGAAAAGGACTGAGCTGATAGGAGTCCTGTATCATATCCTGACTATTTATGTACCTGGGCTACAAAGTGTCATGTTCCTCACAGGTTCCAGTAAATCTCAGTGTGAATCCTTTTGCCTCCATTTATTAAATATGTGGCTGTTGCATTTGTGATTTGTCCCAAACAAGAAGCCAGTCTGGGGACATGCTTATAGTGCATCTACAAAATACACCTTAAGCAAATAATTTGCAAATCTTCTTAATTAGTCTGGGCTGCAAGATGAACAAATTGATGCTCTGGAGAAACCTGAAAACAATCCTTTGCTCAGCTTGCACTTGTATCTGTGTGCCTCTGACAGCTCTGCTAAAATCTGTTGTCAGCATCTTATTTCCTGGAAGCAAGGAAATCACACACTGAGCTTTTCACCATTGCATTGGGCCAATGCAAAACAATCCTGTTTCCCTGGGACCAGAGCCAGCTGGGTCTTTGCTAAATTGTACCCAGGAATGGGGGTAGACATGGCAATTTTATCACACCTAAAAATCCAACAAGATTGAGAGTTTTTAGTCTTTACTCTTCAACCCTTCATTCTGTTTTCTTCATGAACTTGCAACATTCTTCAGAAGGAAATCAGGTCCTGGGAATACTTTGCTGGTTTCAGCAAAGTCCTTCATTATAGAATTTGACTCTGCCTACCTGGCTTGGCACTTCGCTGCTCTCTCAGACTGTCTAAAAGCACTTCCAGGCTGAGAAATGCAGTGATAGTGACTTTTCCAGCAGGTGGATCATACAGCTCTCCTGGTGGCACAGCAGAGTTGTTGAACACCTCTTTACTTCATACACAGCAGATTTGCAGGCAGATTCCAGACTTCATCCTCCCCAGGAGAGTGAGATTTACTGCATTTGAGGAGAAGACACAGTGCAGGTGCTCCCTGTGCACTAAACCTGCAGGTGCTCCTCGTGCATAAAACAAATGGTTCCCTTATTGCTCCTGAGATGTGTAAGGTTAAAGGGCCAGATGGGAGGTTGTCATCCCCCCAAAATTATTCAGTCTAACCACAGCTATCTTTTTTCCCCATGCTTCCTCAAGGGAAAGCAAATCTGTTTCATAGATATGTGTTCCAAACTGATCATATGAAGTATCACAAAGTGCATGATGCAGAATGGACTATAAAGTATATCTGGATATGGGTTCTAAATGTCAAAATTATTTGTCTCACCAAAAAGCCATTGCTACCAAAACAAATCCCCAAAAATTAGTTGAAGAATAGACTAATTGATTCCTTTAAATTGTGACTTTTAAAGCTTCCATCCAACCCAATCTGTTCTGTGATTCTGTGACTCTATGAATACACCCCACTCTTGATCAATAGCAAACTTGACACTTTTGACTTATTCCATAGCCGCTCTGATTTCAGCAGATCTATGACGTGAAAATTAACTTTTTTTTTTACTCCATTAGATTCTTCATTATGCAAAATACAATTTCATTTCTTTCCCAGATATTATAGTATAACTGCACCCTTCAAAAACGCAAGACTGTGATACCCCAACTTTCAGATATTACTGCCCTAAGTTCTAGCTCCATACATTTAAGAACTGGTATTTCAAAACCTTCATTGTGGCACAGAAAAACCAAACTAAATATTTACTGCTGTCAAAAGAACTAATATCCCTTTCAATATGAATGAAGCATTAGAAATCTTAGACTAAGATGTAAGACTGGAAGTAAGAGACTCACATTTTAATCCAAACGAGTTTCAAGCCTCAAAAATCCCCTGCTAAAGGGTCATTATTTGAGGAGAAGAAAAAAAACAATTAAAAATCTGGTGTTTATTCTGTCAGCATAATAATTTCCTAAATATTGCTCCACTGGTGGTATATATCTAAATATATGCACGTGTCTTTTTGTCCCAGGCATGCAAATATGTCATCACCTGTATTATTCACTGGAGATGGCCCATTTGTCACCATCACCAAAGGAGGTAACCACGGCCTAATTTTCACAAAAAGGTAAGTACAGTGAGATTTCTTCCTCATACAAACCATGTCTTTAAGTGTTGTGGTGATTATTTATGCACTAATATATAGCTCAAATCCTAACTGACATCTCTATCCATTTACTGTGGAAATGATATGCTCTTTTATGAAAATATTTCTTATCTAGAAATCTCTAAATTATGAGTACATATTATAATAGAATTAAGACTGCCTATATATAATGCAGAAGAATTAGGATGGAGTGAGAATCACCCATAGTTACAGAGTAGTTGTCAAAGTTGGTTCTCTCTGTAATCAGCAGAGAAAAATAGTGATCTAAAATGTGATCCATCAAGGCATCTCTTGAAATACGATGAGTCACACTCTAAAAATAAATAAAGTTAAAGGTCTTTAACTTTATTGATACAGACTTTGGACACACTGAGGATTGCTAATTTAAGCCATCCACAGACAGGAATCTATATTTAAACAAACTATACCCACTCTTAAATGACTTCTGGAATTATCTCCACCTTCACAAGTGAATCATTAGATGACATGATCCTCAGAATACATTTGATTCTATTCTAACCTTTCTCAGTCCAAATAACTGCTGAGGGGATTCTGAAGGGTACTAGAAACTGGTAATTTCTTGTAGATTTAATGAAAATGTGATATTAGCCCAGGATTACCTCCTCAGGAAATGGTGGGATTTACAACACAACTCCCAAGCAGAAAGGCTTCCCATCATCAGTTTAAAAAATTGTAATGACTTCAATTTCTATTTTCTGTTTATAAGAGGCTTTACTGTATAATTTTTTCTGGATTTCTACCAGAACACTGAGCCAGAAAATTACTGTCTAATTGCTAAAATGCTGAAACCATGTTGAGGACAGCAAGAATCCATGTTCTTTCAGTTTCCCTTAATAAACACAACACATAGTGACAATGCAAGAGACATGTCTTAATTTTCTATGGTCTATTATTTTGTCTACCCAAAAAAAAAATTAAAAGTTACATTTTATGTTCTATTTATACTCTGTTAACCCCAAACATTTATCATTTTTATGAGTGGTGAAAGTATCTTAAACTAATGGAATATCATTGGAGCCTATTTTTCATTTTTTCTTGAGTGAATGTCTAAACCAGCATTTCCACAAGACATCTTGAAGAGCAGTAATGATTTAAAGATGTCTTCTGTTAATACCTGTTAAACACTAAGAGTGATTCAAGCAGGAGGAAATGGAATAAATTCATTAATCTTAGTTGTATTTCTGTGGCAGAAATAGGTGTCGTCTCCCAGGTTTCATCTGGACAGCTGACAGGAATAATTTTCCAGGGTGACACTATTGCAGATTCACACATGGTTTTCCTACATATAATGAGTGCTAGAAAGATCACACAGATTTGATAATTTAAGGCAACTGAATTCATTAACTGGTAATCCAATTATCAAACGTATTTTTTAAATTGTTTTTTATTCAAGTGCATCCACCATTCAAACAAAGGAGGGCACATATAGTAGGGTTTGAAATCTGCAGTGACAGAGACAGCAAAAGAATTCTCTGGTGCCCTTAGGTAATGTGATTTTTGGCAGGATAGCTTTGTAAGAGCCCCAGATCCTGCCTTTTTGATGCATGTGAGCAGATTCCACAGGGACTAATTGTTTTTGCCAGTTCTGAGTGAAGATCATGCTCACAGATGCCCTAACTACTCCAGATTTCTGCCTGGCATGCTGCTTGACAGCTGACACTCAGGGAGGCACAGAGGAGGGTGCTCAGCACATGCCTCTGGTGCCTTTTGGCCACTCCCGTGCAGACCAAGAGGCAGCTGAGCATTGTTGGGCTGAAGCGCGGGCAGGAATGTGCTTCTCCTGCTGGGAGCTAGCTCCACAAAGAGGAAAAAGCAGAGGCAAATGAAGTCATTTCTGCTGAAGCACCCAACCAGTGGGTACTTGTGGTGGGACAGGCAACTCCCTTTACACCAAAAATGTAAAATTATAGGGAAAAATCTGACACTTTGGTTGTTAGTTCAGGTAGTTTATGCATCCACCTATGAGAAAATGTAGGATTAGATAAAATAATTAATATACAGCACTACTGGCCTCCCCAATGAAAGCCTATGAAGGCATCATGGAAAAGGGTATTTAGTTGAAGTTTATGCAAAGGTGATTTTGGTTTCTTGCATTTTTGGTTTCTTAATATTTGTCAGATTACAGATTTCGATGCATGTCACAGAAAATGGTTTCCACTTTTTAAATTACAGACTTAAAATTAGGTACCTACCTTGAAATGGAAAATGGCAATATGGGACTATTCAGGGCCAGAGGAATATCCCATTTGCATCCCACTATAGTGTGAGTTTAACTGGGGAGGTGGTGGGTGGTTGCAATTCCCACTTTATTTCATGTCCCTTTATGCCATTGGAAAATTCCTGGGTCACATCTCACTCACAGCAGATAGCAAATTTTAGAGCAAACACAGCGAGGGATACATCATTCCCTATCATGTTTAAAGTACCCTTCACCTACTCTATGTACAAATTAAATGTGGAAATGCTCACTGGAAACAAACCATTGGCAGAGCTTGGTTTTCTGTCTTCCCCTCATTCTCATTTCTGTGTGTATCAGATTTGAATTGCTAGCACGCACACTGTCCCAAGTGTTTCAGATTCATTACAGACTATGAACATAATATTAAAATCTCTGGGTATCAGAAATGCTTGAGCAGTTTTGATCTATGGTCTTGTGCTCTTCAGACTCTGGCTTTATATATTTGCTAAATAATTTCTAGCATAACATATGCAACTGTGTATTTTACAGTAGCATTATTTTCTTAGTAAAATGATGCAGGGATATAAAACTAACCTCTTAAATTCTTTGGCCACACTGATCTCTAGTGGTAAGGTGTTGAAAACATCTCAAAAGGTAGGGAAAATACCATAGGCAGCTATAACTTTATTGCAAGTCTCAAGCAGATGATCCATTTCCCTAAAACACAAAAGTATACTTTAATTTCCATAATGTAAATCAATTAAGTGTCCACTGAAGAGGAATATATACATTTAAAGTTGTAGAACATATAATGTTGTATACTTATAATTAAAACATAATTTAAACATATACTTAACAGGCTGATACTGCTAAATGAATGTGCTTTCATATATATGATTGTATACATTTCTCTCTGTGTATATATATATATATATTTGACAGTCAGAGTTATCTGATGTACGGATATCTGTGATTTAATTGCACTTTCATTCTAGAGAACACTGTCGGGACAACCTGGTGGTTCATCTGCAATGTAACGTTCAATGTAAGTACAATGATATTCAATGTAAGCACACAGAATCCAGGAATGCTTCACAGAGAGATCAAATTGTTCAGACCATAAAGCCAAATGTTTATAGCTTGAATGGAAAGGTTAGGGAATGGACTATAAATGCTATACTCATAATGGTATAAACAAAGGAAAATTTAGTCTTCACTCAATTTCAGTGTTAAGTGTACACTAGAGAGGGATCTGTAGTGAAAATATTTATAAAATAAATTTATAAAAATTCCAGAAGATCTGAGGAAAGAAAACATCTAAATCAAACTTAGACAGTTGCATCTTGATTTCAGCTATAAAAACCCAAACTTTTTCCCACAGTGTTTTTGAATAGCAGTTCAGATTCTACAAAGCCTTGTTTTTTCCAAGAAAATGGACTAGTCTAATAAAATATGCAACATCCCTTTAGTTTTTTATTTTATTTTATTTTGCTTTCTCTTAGCTTGTGGAAAAAACCTGGTAACTCAGAATAATGGAACAAGAATTGTAGGTGGAAATGATGCCAGAAGAGAGGCTTGGCCCTGGATAGTTTCACTCCATTTTAATTTCCAACCCGTTTGTGGAGCTTCCCTTGTCAGTGACCAGTGGCTGGTGACAGCAGCACACTGTGTCTATGGGTAAACTTCTTTTATGTTCAAGTTCACTAAGGAGGCATCAGATTGTGAACAAATTGTGATGCTGATATGAAAAATTAACAACTAACTCATGGTTTAATTACCATGCTTTGAATCACTTGTGGCTCAGCTGAAAACTCCTTTACTTCCTGGTAAAAATCCTCAATCCTTACTTTAATGCAGACAATTGTGGAAACCAAGCAGCATTTCCTGAACAATAAGAAATTGCACTTAAAATGCATGGTATTAATACTGAGCATTGGTACTTAATCCACAATTATTGTGGGCCTCCATAAATTGGGTGAATCCCTCTACCAGTGGTATAAAAGGTGACATCATATCCCATAAATTAAACCCAGTGTTCCTCCTTCCTATTATCCTGGATTGATCAAGATTTACTGTGCATCACTGTAATGAATCTTGATTTATGTGCATTGATTAGGCAATAGTAGATATCTTCTCTATGGTGTAATTTGTATCATTCCAAGAAGTGATGCTTATTGAAATATTTTCTAGGATATTTCATAATATCTACAATAAAACCAGGTGTTGTAAAAGACATATAGAAACTGGAATGGCAAAAAAAAAAAATCAACCAAACAAAACCTAAAAACAAAATTAGAATAGAGCTTTCACTACAAATAGCTAAACACTAAGGCAGTGGAAACTATGCCAAAATCTCAACACTGCCTCATGGCATGACAAGCACTACATTCCACACAAAGACACTAAAATGAGAAGGATTAAGCCCCTTAGTTTCCTCACAATAAATCCACAATTGTCTTGATACTTCCTTTTCACGTGAATCACCTTTCTCTTTTCAACTAAATCTAATTTTGCCTTTCCTAGAATTTTCCTAAATTGAAGCTTGTGGTTTCTCATCTTCTGAACATTTAACTTGGACACTCCTAGTTTAGAACAAAAGAATATCTTGATATCAAACCAAAAGAGGAGCAGAAACCAATTCAGTCCAACAATCAGGCTGAAAATGTACTTTTTAACCATAAAATGATGGATGAAAAAACAGAAAATCTTTAAATTCTCTGATGAACACAGCCTCAAATCAGCATGTGTAGATTAGGAAATAAATGAAGATTATGCCATATTTTGTTTTAGCATATCTTGTTTGACTGATATTAAAAACTAAGGGACTAGTTAGTTCTGAGTCTGTGAGCTGCAGCATTTCCAACATCTCAGACCTCTTATCCCTTAGACATTCCATTACAATTTTCTAACTAGGACCAATACTAATTGCCAGCAGTCAGCGGTATTCTTCATAGTGTTTAAAGAGCCATGGTAATTTAGTTAATGTATTTCCCTCCTCTGCACCACCATCTGATTAATTCATTATAAATAATGCATTATAAGCTCACCATAAAAAAATCAGCAACGCCTATCTGCAGTGTGGATGTTTAAGACAGTGATACTCATGGAATTCTAAGCACATCTACCCTGTTCTATTTATTTGACAAAACATCCAAATGCTACGGATTACCACAAGGCTAGATATCAGCATTTTATCTGATACACATTTTTCAAGACTTCCATTAATCACTCCTAATTGTGAATACTCTCTTTGCAATTTCTAGGAGGCAGCTGAAGCCGTTCCATTGGCAAGCAGCTCTTGGCTTGTACAGCCAGTCAGACCTGGCAAAGCCTCCAGCAGTGGTTCAGAACATTGACAGAATAATTATAAATCCTCATTACATGAAGCAAACAAAAGACAGTGATATTGCTCTGATGCACCTTCAACACAAAGTGCAGTATACAGGTGAGTTTTTGCTTTCCCAAAAGACCCATTTATTCTATTATGCTGAGCATATGAGGGTGGTGGGGAGTCTGCTCAGTAATTCCTGGATATCTTGGCAAAAAGTGGGTTTGAATTAATGAATGTTTTCTGGTATGGCTTCATGAAAACCTGAATACAGGGAAGAGGTTGAAATTGATTACTTGTTTCTCATTCACAGATTACATCCAACCTATCTGCCTACCAGATAAAAACCAACAGTTTCCACCAGGAATTAACTGCTCCATTGCTGGCTGGGGGGCTATTCTCAATGATGGTGGGTCATCTGCTTGCAAAAATTCTGACAGGCATGTAGCTGTGAGGGCAGGCTTGTTCCCATTCCACAGGAGTTGCTAAGGTCAAATAGTTTAGAGAGCTACTCTTCCACATGAAAATTTAAGAAATAACCCATTCCACTATTCCTTCTCTGAAGCAAAATTATACTTATAACACATCTCTTAGAAAAAACCCATGCATATCTAAGTTAATTAGGCTATGAAGAAAGCTTCTTACATTCACTTAGAAGTTATGATGACTGCTTTTCTCAACATGAAATATGTACATCACAGTTCCAGATATTGGGTGGGGGAAGAGGAAGATTAGTCTTTGTGACAATGTGAAAATTATTTTCCTCCGAAGTCAAGGAAGCTGATTGCAGTGTGAAATGTATGTTCTGTTTGTATGTCATATGCTTTCAGAGATTTGGAGTCTCTCTGAAATAATAAACATGACATTTCTCTTCCACAGTTGAATACATTGACTTCTACGTTAAATTGCATTTAAAATTTTGGGAAGGAATTAATAAAATAATTAAAAAAAAACTTTAAATAACCAAAGTTACTCAATGAATAGTGAGGAAACACTCCACAGCCCATGTTCCTAAGTCTTTAATCATCCCTTTGATCTCCCCACAGTGAGTTCATAGTCATTGATTTTAGTAATCTTGATTCAATTATAACCAAATTCAGTCCCATTACAAAAATGAAAGACAGGATTCAGTTAACGAGCCCTGTTTAATCAGAGACTGTGTTTCAGGGGCATAAGCCTGAGTAGTACAGCAGTAAGGCAGGGATTCCTGCTGCTCAGGATTGTGCTGAGCATGCTGGAACAGGAACAAAACCATTAGTGTTCCCAGTGGGATGCATGTATTTAATGCTGCAGGAAAATGTACTTTGTATTCTCCTCAGGTCCCTCTTCAAATATATTGCAAGAAGCAGAGGTCCCTCTCCTTTCTAATGAAAAATGCCAGCAATGGATGCCAAAATATAATATTACTGAGAATATGCTCTGTGCAGGATATGACATGGGAGGAATAGATTCCTGCCAGGTAAGTAGAAGCAACTCATTTTCACTGCTGGCATAAACCTCATCTAGTTACTGAAAAAAACTCTCCCTGATCCTCCACTCATGAAAAACAGAACAATCCCTGTCCATTAATGTAACTTCTACTCATGGTACTTTGCTCCTTTAATAATTTATCAGGATACATGTTAAAATTATTTTTGTGTGTGTCATCTTGGCATAAACAATCATGGAGGGAGATAAATATGAGGACTGGGAATTTTTTGCACTAGGCTTTGAATAATTCCATGAAGGAGAGGCACATGCTTAGAGAAATGCAGAGAACAGAGAGATAAATACCAAATAGACTGAAGTCTCAGAAATCCTTCATTATGGGAAAGAGAGAGAGCAAAGCTGCTTTTCCCCAGAATCTGTAGACTCTGGAGACCTTTCCCAAGCAGACACCACAGTATTTCAGGGAGGCTGCCTTTCTGCACTGATATATGTTCACGTGGGTTTCGTTTTTATCCATTCCAGCTCTTTTTAACTCCCTGCTTCTCTTTGAGAATGTCCTCAGAGGTGGCTGCCACATGATTTTTATTCCAGCAATAGGAGTCTGTGGCATGGAGACTGGCTGCCCTCCCTCAAGGCTGATGAGGAGCATTCTCACATAATTCCAACTGCCTTGCCCTACCAACCTAAGCCTTCATCCCCTGCCCTGACTTTTTGCCCAGTTTAGTCTAGAACAAGGATTCTATTCAAGCCTAATGTCCTTTCCCCTCATGGTTTTCCTCTTTCCCTTTTTCTTTCTGAACCTTATATTGAACAAAACCAAACCAAAACAACAACAAATAAAAGAAACCCAAAACAAAACAAAAACCAATTCCATGTAGGACCACAGGGTGATAGAGAGTACAAGTGACCAGCACTGTGATCAATGACCAGTCAGCCATGAGCAAAGATAAACAAGTGATTCCTGATAGCACATCCCCCTTTAGGCTGCTGTCACAGCCTTTAACATTCTGGGGTGCCCCAGGGTTATGGGCAGAAGTATTTTAATGGCCGAGTCCTTGCAGAATTCTCTGGTAAAGATCCATTCACAGGGCCTGGAGAAGACACAATTAATACTGGTTCAACTAACTTGATAGACAATGAAAAATAGTAATTGTTTTCTTTCTCATCAAAACAAGACACCCACGGCTGACTCATCCCCACTCAAGCTAAATCAAATTCAGTCTCTATTACAATACTATGTCTGCTAAACTATTGAAAAGGAGGTGAGAGAAAAGAACACCTCTTCTGGCAATCTTGTTATTTTGTTCTCTAAATTTGAAACTGTGGAAACTCTGGGGTGACTGAAAATAGAACTGTGTTTTGGCTGAATATATTCAATTTTAAAAAATCCTCCACATTTACTCGGGCTTTGTGAAATATGAAGGGCTGAACATAAAAGGAATAAGATTTAAAATAAATCTCTTGAAGTCCAGTCCTGTATTAGAAGACTGATGACAGCTTAAGCTCACATAATTTAAAAAAATAAAGAAAAAATAAATGGATAATTTCAATTTTTTTTTCCCATGGAAATATTCATATTGATCTTTCTGGTGCTAAAGACATACAGGGGTAGAGCATCTATGATTAAGGAACAAAATGAACAAACATCATAAACAGGCTTTCCCTGAGAGTTGACACTGCTCACTTTTAACTTCTGAATTTGTCATTGCAGGGGGATTCAGGTGGCCCTCTGACATTTGAAGATGGGGACAAGTGGTTTTTGGTTGGTGTGACATCATTTGGGGAAGGGTGTGCCATTCCCCAGCGACCAGGAGTGTACGCTCGAGTCACCATGTTTGTGGACTGGATCAAAACCATCATCTATTAGCTTGATATTTTTTAATTATAGCAATGGAGTTCAGATGTTGACAGTAAGACATTGCATAATGATGTAAACTAGGCTGCCATTTCAATCTCACAGAGAAACTAAATAAATACATAACTCTTGGTGAGGAAAACACTGGTAACTTCTGTTTGTTAAGAAGACCCATTTCCAAGTGAGCACAATATTTCAAAAGAGATGCAATGGTTTTGTTAATAAATAGTTTTGTCATTTTACAATTTGTTTTATACAGGATCTTAGGAAACCAGGTTCTTTGAACATCAGTGCATTAACTGCACAGTGGAGGGCTTTACAAAGCCCGGGCAGTAAAAAAATGTTTGCAAAATGTAAATGCTGCAGTGGAAAAGAATCAAAATTGTCACTATCAAGTGAAATATTACCTGGTTTCTGTTTTTACATTGTGTTTTTCAATGTGCAATTTCATATTAATGCACAGTCAACTCTTCCCAGCAATCTCTCTGCATATCAAAATTAAAGTGCATGTCCTCTCTTCAAACTGGCTCATGGGAGTTCCTCTGCCTTGCCTCTTACAAAAGGCTCTGGAGTGAGGTTTATGGATTGTGCAGAAAGGCTGACCATGGATCATGCTGCTTTCTAATGAACAAACTGAATGTCAGCCAAATATTCTCTCTGGTGTAATGTGCTTGGAATTAATAGAGTTAAAAAAGGATTGAATAAAGCTTTTTAGTTTTCTTTCTAGGCAAGTGTTTGGCAATTATTCAAACAATTATAGAGATGTGCTTTTCCACACCCAAGCACAGACTCACAATACCGCAACTTGTTCTCATAAAAAGTGATGTTTCTAAAAACATTTGACAATAATGAGTACCAGTTCTCCCTCAAGAATATTAGTGTTTCCATATTACAAGCTTTTTCTGTACTGATGATTTTTAATATATATTTTGGGTTTTGTAAAAAAAACAGCAGGGTATCCCATTACAGCATTCTAAAGAGGAAAGAATATGAAAACTAAAATAAGGGGTTTATCTTCTTGAGCTCTTTTGTAAATAGGTTTCTATTAAAAAATGATTACTTACTTGTTCAAATGCCTTAAATTCTATGGCATTAGCGTAATGTGATGCACTTCATTTCTGTTTTCACATCAGTGTAGGACCTTAATGTATTTATCATTCCATAGTACCCAAACTACAAAATGCATTCTCACTTATTGCATAAGTGCATCTACCCATATACACACAGGTTTTGAAAGCTCCTGGATTTGGTTCTTACAACCCTAAATGAAGGTATGGAATGCTTGCAAACAGAGGTTGGCAGTCACTGATAAAAAAAATAAGTCCCAAACTGCTTTCAGGTCTTTGTAATTAGAGTATTAGGTCCAGACCAAAATCTGTAGCTTTATCAAAGACATCTGTGATCACAAAGAACACAGATAAATATAATTATGACAGAGAGAAGGGAAGGTGTTTTAGACACAGTCTCTCATATGAAAGACACAGTTTTTTGACATTAAAATATTAGAGCTGCAAATTTTATCTTTCATAGTGAACAATTGTTTCTCCTATTACTCTAAAAAGTAGAGCATTTTCCTACCGGTACAAATTGATTTGGATTAAGCAATTACATTAAAATGCTTAAGTAAAATATGACCTTATTTTTGGATTATTTACCATAGATCACTATTGTACATTGTGTTTCAGTCTGTTAAAGAAATACAAAAACCAGCTGAAAGCAGATCCAGTCACCAGAAAATGTGCTTCCCAGGAATACAGTAAGGTACTTTTATCTGTGTGCATTTTCTTGCTTTCCAAAATGCAAAGCCTATTGAGATATACATTGATAAAACAACTCATCAGACTGAAAAAGTTGTATACTTATACAGTATACAACTGTATAAGTATATATAAATATATTTTGTATATTATATAATATATTATATATATCTATAATATATTATATATTTATACTATATAAGCCCTGGCATAAAAATATATATCACATAAACTATTTTAATTTTTAAAACAATTTTATTTCAACTAATTATGTTTAGATAAAACTAACATAACCTCAGTCAATCACATTCTAGCCTTTGGTCAACATCCACGGCTTTAGTTGCCTGCAAATTAACCTGTGAAGAAACCAGTCAATACTATGTTAAAACACTTGGGCAGAACAGATTATTTGCAATTGAGTCAGTTCCAAGATGCTTTGAAACAGAGGATGGACATGGTGATAAATATGGAAATATTTCACCCCAATAGCCAATATTTCTTATGTCTAGGTAAAATCTGAGCACACTACAACAGAAGCATTGGATGGCACTTCCCCATCTGCCTTCACACAGAGTTTGAGACAGGTCTGTGCCAATGCCTGCCTCTCCATCACTTTGCCTCTGTAAAAAGCACTCCTGAAGGTATTTTCATTCTCCTAACTGCTGCTTCAAAGTCACTTCTGCTGCCATTAACCATGATATTGATAGTGACAACTTTACGTGTCCTTTGGAAGTATGAAGAAATAGTTCATCCCAAAGTTAAAGGGAGTTAATCCTTCAAGACCATAAAAATGAACTAAGTCCTTTTTACCACAACTCTTCTCAAGAAAGAGGTCTCTCCTCCCCTCAGTTGAGTTCATCAATATTTTACATCAGTAGGAAAACAATTCTGGTCCTGGTGATCATGTAGGATCATAGTATTTTCTCACTGCAAAGGAAACTGAAGTAGGGGACTGAACAAAGAAGTTCCTACTGACTGGAAGAACTATAGAATACTTCAAGTAGGAATAACAGTACTTAATTTGAACTACAGGAGAGTTTTCTTTGAAAAGGAAGCAGAACCACTGCATAACAGCAGCTTTAAGATACTTCCAAATGTGCTTCAGCAACTAATTGCACAATTAGTATTAATGGAAACTTTCAAATAATTTTCTGTACTCAGAAAATTGAGACAGATTTGTGTCTGAAGTGATGTGTTGAGCATCAGCCAGCACAGTGCAGGCAACCCCTCAGCTCTGCTTTGGTCAGGCTCTCCCCAGCCAGTGGGGGTTATCAATCTGTGTTAAAGCCAGCAAGGTTGAACTCAGGCTCTTGACCTCCTGCTGCAACAGCAGTAAAATACCTGAACTTTTGCTCTGACACCAGATTGTCACCAGCAAATCAACCAGAGGGCTGCTGCCACCACCCCACGCTGCTCCTTATGACTGGCACAACCATTCCTAAGGCACAGAAAGCTCTTAAGCTACCAGAGAGAATGGACGTTAATGACGTTAATCATAACTCTAAAAGACAGCTTTAAATGTACCACAGTTACCTCTAAATCTATCCATCAATTAATATAATTAATGTGTTTCTAGATAATAGTCTGAGTAATGTAGGAATCAATCTATGAGTGCCACTTCCAAGAAAAAGCCTTTTTCTTCTCTTTCTCCAACATTATATTATTCCTAACAAACTATTAGCTATATTTAAATGACCTTTAATGCCTTTTTTATGTAGACTTACTGAAACAGTAATTTTAATCTTAAACTCTTGCCCAATGTGATTTTTTTTTCCATCAGAAAAATATTTGACTGAAGTAACAACTAATAGCTGCCTTTAAAGGGCACACCATTAATGAGGTATCACTTTCCAAGTTTTATGTTGACCTTGAGCCAATGTGAAAAAAAGTTATAGTCATTCCCTGGCAAAATGAATTCATTCTATGACAAAGGACTTTGATGAATCCTTGAATTTTGCCACATCAGGTTGATGTCACAATATGATGGCTGTTTCTGTCAGCAACCATGTCATTATTTCATAAAATAATATTTGTTCCCAAGGTTCAAAAACTGTGTTAAGTGCGCAAATAAATACTAAACAAATATTTTGTATCAAACTTTTATGCAAAGATAAATAATTGTTACACTGTAAAATTGTCAGTTCCATTTACTGTACATTGACTATACAATACAATGCATGAGAGACTAAAAGAAACAGAGGGGTTTTGTTTAACTACAAACAGTCTTAAAACTGACATACACTGTGGATATTTCCCCATAAAAACTTCAAATGCTCTGTTCATTTCATTGCTCACAACTAGCTAACTTACATCTCTTAGCAAAATAAACACATACCCTTTATTTAGCATGGCATATTTTGTAACTGAATTAATAAACAAACATCATATAAAAATGATCTGACCATTTGCCTCAAGGGGGAGCTTACAGTTCATTCTTGTAGATCCTTTGCATTTTCAAGCCATTCCAAGCTAATGTTCTTTGACGACATTATAATACAGCCTCACTGCAAAATGTTATTTTTGCCTCGTTTTCAGTCAGTAAATCATTATACCTCCATGCTACTGTCCTTCCTGGGTGTCTTTGAAATCCACAGTGTGGACTGGTTTGGACTGGTTTTTGTTCTTCCTTTACTGAAAAATAAAAATACAAACCATTTTCAGTCCATGTGTGCCTTTGCAGTCCTGATTCAGTTCTGTGACCAGACCTGAGCATCCCATCCCCAGATCTCAAGGCCACATTTGGTGCTCTCACAGTGTGGGCTCCCCATCCATTACCAAAAATACCAGACCACTCTGCTTAGCAGTGCTGCTCCCAGGAACCGCACTGAACTGGCCTGGATGTTTTTTATTTCTTTTTTCCCAGTTCCCATCCAACCACACCTCTCGTACAGAGCAGTCTTTTCAGAGAACGACTCCGTTTGACCAGGGCTGGTGAGAGCTGAGCACTTCCCTTGTCTGGGGGGAAGCAGAGCACACAAACCCCCTAAATCCATGCCCAAGGTGCAGCCCACCCACCCCAGTGGGTACCAGACTCCTGCCCACCCTGGGTACAGCAATGGGGTCACTGTGCATCCCTGCGCCAGCGAGCCCCTTTCCCTTGGGGCTGGACCTGACACCTCATGAAGTGATGGCACATGGATCAGACTCCTGGCAATGAATGACTGGTAGAAAGCTTCCCGAGGGCTAGTTTTCAGTCAAAACTGTCAACAGCAGGTTTTGTGTTTGGTGTTTTTTCAATTTAAAAAATAAGATAAAACTGGTTCCAAAAAGTACCTGCTCTGCAATACTGCTGTGTTTGCTCTGATTTTTCCATGGAGCCCTGAGGCACCCTGAAAGTTTATGGCAGTCTTTCCACATAGCAAGAAATGCCACAATACACCATCTTTCTTCACCTAAATTGGCAAATGACAGTGCACTCCAGACCACTGAAATAGGAGCCACTTCAGGAGCCATTGGAGCTGCATTTCTGTGAAAATGCTTCAATCTCTGGGTAGAATATTTCACACTGGTGATTTTTTGGGTTTTTTTTTTTCCCAATTAAATAAAAACCAGAAGAGGAGAAGTAGCCCTACATAACTCTGTAAGGTGGAAACCTAAAAGTCCCAACAGTCCTACACATTCAGTTTTACTCCTTTCCTGGTGAGTTACTGCAAGCGAGTCTGAGTTGATTTAAAATGTACTTCGAGGGTGCTGAATGCTACAGTAGTTTTCAGTCCCTCCAGACTTACCTCTGAAGTCCTACAAAGTAATGCATTATGTACCTGAGCCCATTGGAGTAACTGGAAAGACTCCCTTTGGCTTCAGTGGACTTTAGATCAGGCCACAATGCTATAAACAAAGCAATTGCAATGAATCGAGTAGTTCCAGCGCTTCCTTCTTAAAGAAACGAAGTCACTACTCCCCTCTGGATTAATCCAGCAAAAGCAGGCACAAATTAATGATGAAAGGCTTTGAATGGAGAGTCCTTGCCACACACAGCAGGATCAATTTCTAAATACCTTGGATCAAATGTGTCAAATGAGCTTATCTTCAACACACCTACGCTGATTTTCACAGCTGGTTCAGGAAACAGATTTTAGTGACAAAGGTAAGATGCAATAAATAGCTTGAGCATGTTGGTGTTTTGACCATCAAATGCAATCATAGAAACTGAGAAATATACCAGGTTGGAATTTAAACTTTCTGCAAGGCATTCAGATGATAATGGAGATGGGTCTTTGAAGCAGTTTCTCCTTGCTTCCCTGGAAGAAATGAAAGGGAAAGCATCTAAGCATGAATGAGCTGATCATTTCTGCCAGCTACAGGGACGAAGTGCTGCTCTGCCTCATTACTACCCTTCAAGAGCCCAATGACAGGCAAAATTAGTCATGACCTTTCAAGCTAGGCATGTCCTGGTTGGCCATGGGTTGTGGCTTTCAGAGGAAAGGTCACCATGTTGTGGAAGCCTAAAAAAGAATGAGAAGTCAGGTTCATGTGGAAAGTTGGGGGTCCCTCCTTCCCCAGCAGGACAGAATCCCTTTCCTAAAGTTCTAACGTGTCCAGATGATAAGTTCAAGTGATTGTTTCTTCTTCTGATTTGGTTTTTGCCCAAGAGCTTCATATTTGTGATGAACAAAAATGGTTTGCAGGGCAGGTCGTAGGTGGAAATCAAAAATAGATAGGAAAATATTTTTTAAAAAACAGTTTTGTGTCAAAAGATAAAATACTTCATTTTTGGTGATAGTTTTTTTGATCTAAATGATTTTTTTAAATGGTTTAATTTCTTTATTTAAAGGTTTTGATGTAACTCAAAATAGACATTCTGGGAACAAAAACAAACAAACAAACAAACAATAAAACAGAGAACCCTGTGTTGCATCAAAACCATTCTGTCCTTGATTTTTGTATCATTTCATCTATCAAACTAATCAGCTAACAGAAAAAAAAAAATGAAATCTTCCAAGGTGAATTTCCAATATCTGTGTCATGCAATTTTGAAATCTTGGAAGTTCAGATGAATTACTTCTGGATGAAGTGCTATAGCATCAAAGGCCTGATCAAAGCCCACTGAAGTCAACACTACTTTTTCCATTGATTTCAGTGGGCCATGAATCTCTCACTGCTTTCCCAGGAGTATTCAAGGGCTGAAACTTTTCTCAGAAATGAAGGACTTGCCAGAAAAGCTACTAAGATGTACCATACTTACCAAGAAATCCAGGGCCACTGTAATAAGGGTTCCAGAATTCAATTACTGTGCAATTGTTAGAGTTATACATATTATTATTTTACTACTCTTTTCTGATTTGCACTTCCAACCCTCTGCAGCCCCAGTGGTGAGGTTTATATATAACATTTCACAGGCTTTGTGAAATCTTTATTTGCCTGTCATAAGACAGGTTGGAAAGTGTACATTTTCCTTTTCTTATAGAAAATGCATTTTAAAAAAATCAAGTTTGTTATGCAGACCTCATAATGTCTGTTCTTTATGGCTACTTGTTTCAATGAGGCATGGAACCACGGAGTACTGCTAATATCACTGTACATTCACTCACACAGAAACAGCCTTCACATTTGGAGTGTTTTCTCACCTGAAATAAGTTACTGCAGCTATTGGCAGGAAATACTAAGTAAAAACCATACGGAAAAAATAAAGAGCTAAAAATAAGCAGGAATTAAAAAAAAAAATTCTTAAAACTGTGATATCATATTCCTTTTAGTTATTCCTGGTCTTCAAGAGAGAAAACAGCTTACAAATCTGCTTATTGCTCTTAATATTTTAGGTAAACAGCATTTATCTATAAAACATATTTCAGTTGAAACTCTTCTGGATTACATGAAGCTGAAAAGACTTACTGAACTAAAGGCTAAATGATATTTCAGAGTTCCAGAAATACTCTGTTCAGAAAAAAATATTAATTATATGCTGTCATGTCTTTATGTATCTAAATCATATTTTGAGAAAAATGAAAAGTCCAAAGAATTTAAAAGCCTGAAGCAAATTGCACTGTATTTCAAAGGCTGAAATGTTTCTTTTTTGCATAATAGTACCCCTGCTTGATACCACAACTATGAATACATATCTATTTATTTTATGCATCCTCTTAAGCACATACATGATGTAAAAAGGCTATCACACTAGTGTCTGGCTCAGAGCAAGCTTTTGCTTTTCATTTTCAATTTCTGTGCTCCAGTGGTCCATCTGTTGCTTGTATGGTATGTGCAGTGGAACAGGATTAAGCAGCTGCTGGCCCTTAAGTTTTCTCCTTGGAACAAATTTTTAATTGAGGTTAGAAATTGAGTCCTTGGGCTCACCCTGTATCTGTGAGGGACTCCTCAACTATTTCCCATAGCCCAGGTACTTTAGAGGTGGTAATCACCATAAAAGAGATGAAATAAAAGTGCTGACAACAGCCCTGCCTATCAAGTGGTCTGCAAAGAGACTTTCTTCAGGAACAGGTGGAGTCCCAGCAGCAGCATCCTTTGAGACCTAGAATTATCTCAGCATGTTGTGGAAAAAGCCTGAAGGTGAATGTTCAGCTGTAACAGCTGTAAACTACTTGCATTTTAATAGATGAAAAGGCACTTATTTGCATATTTCGGGATAGATGTAAGCAGTCTTTCAGTAGGAATAGCTTGCCAATGGAAATATGAATTCTGCATCATAAAACCACTATGGAAAAGTATATTTTACCTTTTATGAAGCATCTGGAAACAGCAAGTCCCAAAAGCCACCAGTATCAACAGCAGCAGTGGTATAGTGGGTATTACAACATAAATTAAATTCGGAATTATACCTACAAGACAAAAATTCTCATTAATGTCTCCCGTGTTGAAATGCTTTTAACCATGTCAGGAAAAATCTGGAGTAAAATTACAGGAATACATTAACTTACACAAAAGAACACATATATTCCTTCTATAGGAAGAGCTCCAAAGAGAAGTCAGCAGTATCAAGAATAATGCAGCGCTTGAGTTATATGCAAAATGTATCTTAAGGTCTTCAATTCTGATATTTTCCAATTTTTTAATTCACAATTCAAGTGTTTTGATGGAGTACATTTCACTGTCTAATTTTTTTTGCAGTCCATTTCAACTGTAGACTCTGTCATCTTCGTATGTGGATTCCCTGCCCATGCAGGACCACAGGAGGAATGAGCCTGGCTCTCATCTTCCCTTTCCCCTTAAAAGACACATAAATTCTCTCCTTGACTAATGGGGAGAGCTAAAGGTGCTCCTCTGCAGGTGCCTGCACAAAAGGAGTGGGAAATGGCACAAGCTGAGGCTCTATAACCTGTCTGCAATAGAGGATGGGGTCTGCAGCTTCCAGAAGGGTACTGTTTCTCAGTAACCACATGCCCATCTTCTGTACTAGTAATAAAAGTAATAATAGGTAATAAAAGCTCCACAATTTAATGTACAAAGTGTGGAGCTTTTATTACCTATTGTCCTATTTTGAAAATATTTTCCCTAGCAAGAATAAATGTCAATATTCATGCTGTGTTTGAATTTTAGAGTCTTGGCACAATTTGTATTAAAAGCTATAATTGATTACAAACCACAGTTCATCCATATAATAATTCCTCTGGAGTTAAAAATAATGGAAACACCAGTTAGGAAGCTGGCTCAAATCCAGACAACCAGTGGGCAAACAAAGTACCCCCTTTCCATAACCCCATGGTGCAATCCTGTAAAATCCAGGGCTGCTCCTTAGACATGTTCAGTTCCTACAACTCTTCCTGAGCCTCAGGATTTCATTCAGAAGATAAATTGCTGAATGAAGCAGCCAGGGGCATTGCAGAACCTGGGCAGCAGGTATCCACTTCCCAAATATCACCTCTACTGGGAATCTCAGCGAGGCACTGAACTCCTCTTAACATGTGGTTTTCCAAAAACACAGGGTACCTGGGGGAGCTATGGACATGGTGTTTATTCTAAGTTTGGCAAGACAAGGAAATAATTTGTTTCCACAGCAACTAAAAGGACTAAACACTTTAAATGTTATTCAAATATATGTATTTGCAGGGCACTTCCCAGGGAAACAGACTGTTTCTTCCTATTGACAAAAATGGAAACTGAAATATTAATTTAATTCCACTGTTAATATTTTTAGCAGAACACTACATTCATATGAACGCATTACCTGTTTCAGTAGCAATAATATGATACTGATCTTCTGGTTTGCTTGTGTCATAAGGATTTCCTGCTGGCACTGTTGGAAAAATATCTGAAAAGGAGATCAGACATTTTAGGAAAACAGTAAAAAATATGGTCATTATGTAGTTAATAAATTAATAGTAATTATATTTTAATTTATATTGGTAAAATGAATGTTTTTATGATTTATTAAATATACATGTAAACAGGATTTTATTACAAAATTGGAATTATTTCTGGAAGAATTACAAGCAGTATTATGATGAAGAACAGCCATATATTTGTAGCTGTTGCTCTCTGAAGAATGACTTTTTCCTATGTTTTTTCAGTTCTTAACTGTGCCTGTTAAACTTGAGCAATTTTGGAGGCTCTTGAATGGTATCCTTACAATTATGTATTTACCAGTGCAATGGAATTTAATGCATCAAAATTTCTTACCGTATTCTGGCTCTGCTCTGTCTCCTAATTCTTTTTCTAAGACATTATCTGTTAAATCAATATTTGAAATTGATTGTTGAAGAATAAAAAAATGTGTGCAATAAAACAAATGTCTCCATTTTTTTTCATGCAGTATCACAGAAATAGATACATTCCCCCAAACAATAATTGCTTAATTCTTCAGCATTTCATCTTTTACCAAAGACACTTTGCAAACTAGTGTCAGATCACCTCTAATTCATACTTTTTGCTCCTTAGAAGGCTATAGTTTAGTCTAGATTCAATTCTTGGTGGCCTCTGATTTAATGGCTAATGGTCAAACCCTAACTTCCTGAGCTGAATAAATTGCCTAACACATCCAAAGCCTAATTTGTGCAGACAATTCTAGAACAATATACGAAGTTCTCTCTATCATAAGGTTATACTAACTTAACAGTGCTATGTGACTACAGTTCTGAGTGTCTTGATAAATGCAAACTGCTAGGAGAAATCAAAACAGCAATAAAGCCTACTAAATAAAGGCAATTATTTCACCTACTCTGGTAAAAAATAGCTACATTTGGCCTTATATAAAGAAAGACACCAAGATATCCCAAAGAACTGAGCTGCTGTCTCTTGACAGCAGCAGAGGAGATGAGTTTTTAATTTGATTGCATAATCAAACCTACAGGAGCAGGACAGGAACTGAATGAGGTTGCAATTACCAACCTATAATTAAGTTTTAGATTGCTGAATGATCAATAAGACCCAAAGCCAGACTGAACATTGCAGCAGTAAACGCTGTCAAGGGAGGGCTTGGAAAAATAAAAGTGTCCACCAGAAATGTAGCTGCTGCTTGAGCAAGGCTGCCTAATGAGCACTGTCCTGGAGACCTGCTGATGATACAATTAGATGCAACTTTATCAAAGTCACCTGCAACCTGTTTTGACCTGTGGCTGGTATTATGCACCCTACACTGAATGCAGACAGGAGAGTTGTGAAAAACAACATATTCGGATAACAAACTGAAATTCAATATGCATGTGGCACTTCAGCACTCCTGGTGAAATGGATGTATTTTGCACTGCTAAGAGCTGACACTGAAGCCTTTACAGTGATTTGAGAGGGGAAAAAAGGTCGTTTGTAAGTCTCACTTGGTTTGAGATAACAAATGTAATTTTCCTACAAACATTGTGTTACTTTCTTCAGGCAGTGAAAGAAATTACATATATCTATTTATATACATTTTGCATCTACTCCTTTCCTCTATATGACAGAAAAACACATTTCTGGAGAATACTCTGTTTTGCTGAAGAGCACAACTCCAACAGTTTGGAAAATAAATAGCTACAATTCAGTAGTACTGCATTTAGCTGCATAACAATGTCAATACTAACAATAATCTACCTATGCATTGTTTGCCTTATATGCCTCATTATAAACTAATAACCCACTTTCTACCTAGAGAAAGAAATATAAATGTATTTTCATTGTTACTGTTATCACCTTGTTTTCTGACAATCCAAAATATCCAGCATTTTCTCAGATGGTAAAAGCAATAGAAAAAGCAATTCTTTATCACATCTCAACAAGAATGGTAAGCCGTTCACTAGTACAGAATAATTATTTAATTTAAATTTGTTTGCTTTTAAAGCTACAAAATAGACCTGAAACCAAACCTTTTTAATAAAGCCTGCAATTTCTGACGTAAAAATGTTGGGCTTTTAACAACATGAAACATTTTTATTTTGCTACACTATTTCAAAATAATTCTAACAGTTCTAAAAGTGATAAAATTGTCCCATTTCCTTGAAAGGCCTATGATGATTAGTGATTATCATAAAGAGTGATAACCACTAACAATTTCAAAGGCAGGAACAGGTTTTGGGGGTGGCAGTACGCCAAAACACATTGGTATATCAACTCTGCCAAATATTTAATATTTGCTGGCAATATTAATTACCATTAATATCCCCATTAAGTGACCAAAAAGTGAAAAAGATATGTATCCACCAAAACCAGAGGAACAAAATAGTCTGGATCTGTACGGGTAGACAGATCTCTACAAAGAGAGTGATAATTTTCTGATCATCAGCATAGAGAAACAAGGTAGGAAACTGCAGAATTATATAGCTCAAACAGCTGCTAAGAGTAGGATTTCACAGAATCATAGAATGGTTTAGGTTGGAAGGGACTTTAAATAACAGCTTTTTTCCAACACCCTACCATGGACTGGGACACCTTCCATTGTCCCAGATGGCTCAGAGCCCAGTCCAGCCTGGCCTTGGACATTCCCAGGGATGGGGCATCTACAAATTCACTGGGCCACCTGTGCCAGGGCCTCACCACCCTCACAGTAAAGAATTTCTTCCTACTATCTAATCTAAAACTACTCCCTGCCAGTTTGAAGCCATTCCCCCTTATCCTGGTACTACAGACCCTTGTAAATAGTCTCTCTCCATCTTTCCCATAGGCTCCCTTCAGGTACCGGAAGGCCACAATCAGGTCATCCAGAGCCTGTTCTTTTCCAGGCTGAACATTCCCAGTTCTCCCAGCCTTTGCTCCCAGCAGAGCTGCTCCATCCCTCTGATGCCCTTGGTGCCTGCTCTGGGCTGGCTCCAGCAGGTCCCTGTCCTTGCTGTGCTGGGAGCCCAGAGCTGGATGCAGCCCTGCAGGTGGGCTCTCAGCAGAGGGGGCAGAGGGGCAGAATCCCCTCCCTGCCCTGCTGCCCACGGGGCTCTGGGTGAGCCCAGCACACGGGGGGCTCTGGGCTCCCAATGGCCAGGCCATGGCAGCCTCTCACCCACAGCACCCCCAGGGCCTTCTCCCAGGGCTGCTCTGGGTCTGCTCATCCCCAGCCTGGATTGGTGCTGGGGCTGTCCTGACCCAGGTGCAGCACCTTGGACTTGGTCTGTCAAACCTCATGAGATTCCCAAGGGTCACCTCTTGAGTTTTTATTAGTTAATAAATGAAATAAATCCATCATTTCCTATACATTCTTTCAGGTTAGTTTTGAAAAACAAACACACCAAAAAATATTTGAAAACATTTGCATAGTCCTGCTGAAAAACACGTTTTCATTTACTTTAAGTATGGCCAAGAACAGAAAATTTTACAGGCTCAAACTGGAAAGTTTACTTTTTATGTCCTTTCTGGTTTTGCACCTTGTTCTAGTTTATAGTTCACTTTTCCTCTATTGACATATACAGAACTTATGTCATGTCTGAAAGTACAGCCAAATTGCCTAAGATCTGTTTTTTCTGACACCATCTCAACTAGCATGCATCTGCTTTTCATATCTCTCTAAGTCTACATGCATGAGTGCAGAAATTTTTCCTGCTGTTCTGGACTTCGTTCTTCAAACCATAACTTTTTAAAACAACCACCACACGTAAGTTGGTATAAAGTGGGAGAGTTGAAACTATGAGGACAGTGCTATATTTTTTACAGTAGGACCAAGATGTCATAGTCATCCATAGAAAGTAGAAAAATGTACACTTAAAACACTTTGTAAGGGAATTAATTAAATAAAAAAACCCCTGGAAATCCATGATAATGAAGCTAACTTTGAAATCATGCTTGTTAGATGTAAACAGGTTTATTTAAATGTACTAAAAATGTATTTTAATAGTTGTTATTGACATATCATATCCCTTGTTAATGCCAGCACAGGCACACACCAAAGGAATCAGTACCACAGGCCAAAAGATACTTGAAGATTCCCTCACAAACAAGACAATGTCCCACCAGTGAAATATAACTTCAGTTTTACCTACCTGGGGCATATTTGCAGATAAAATTGTGCTTCATGTTGCATCTGTCATCGTTCCATTGATAAAGGTATGGCCCTCCCAGACCAGGGTTTGCAGTTGGCTGGTGATACATCACCACACAGGCTTCACTTCCACAGGAAGGCTCATCTGTGTACCAGTTTCTAGTTTTTGAAGATAAGGTTCATCAGGATGACAAGGAAAAGAGTTTGCATCAATGTAGAAGTATCAACCCAAACAGTCCCATCCTCTTCCCACAACCTTTCTGTGAAAGACCCAAGAATATCTCTGAATATTAAACAATTCTGATCAAAACACCTCTGCAGAAATAACACCCTACTGCTCTGCTTTCCTCCCTATAAGACTCTTATCTCTCCCCTTGTTTTCAGTTCTATGATTTGCTGTTACTCTGGCCTTTGGCCTCATCAGGAAGTTAAAGGATTTTCAAAAAGGGTAGAAGCAGAACAATTTATGCTAAGCATCTCACAATAATTTATTTGGTGGCTGGCTCCCTGATTTGAGGTGGCCAGAGCCCTGCAGAATTTACCTGCCTGCTTTCAGACCACATCTGAAGGACTCTGCGTGTGGCAGAACAACCTCCAAACATCCTGCAGAGGCAAACTCTGGGGGTGGGAGCAAAGAAATTCATAGGCTGAAGCCGCACACACAACGCCATCCTGTCACAGCTTCAAATTCAAAACCCCGATTGCCAGCTACCCTTCATCTGGACAAGTCAAGGGGGGGATTCCACAAACTTCATGCCAACAAGCAAGGTTTGGCATTTCATTCCTTTCATTGGAACCTTCTCAAGGAGCAGTTTCCCACCCTTACCTGAATGGTGACATACTTCCATCGGCCCACTGGTAGAGGTCGGGGCAGGCACTCGACGTGGCCAGTCCATCGCCGCTCCTCCACAGCCCAATCCAGAAATCACCATCAGAAATCCCAGAGCCTGATTTGGTGAGGTTCTGCAGCATGTTTTCTATCAGCTGCTGCTCAGCTTCACTTTCCAAGCTCAGCAGAGCCCCGCCATCGATTTCACAGGCCTGGCGGGCCTCCTGGAAGCCCACGCGTCTGGACAAGTCCTGGAAATAGGCTAGTTTGTAACAGGAATGCTTGAAGGCACCATAGCACACCTTCTGGCCTGAAAAACAAACACATGGGGCTGTTCAGAGCACAGTGATGAATATCAAAGCTGCAAGAAAAGAATACAGCACATCTTGCATATGCTGGTGAAGGACGGGAGATTTTTGCCAGAGAGGATTCATGGTGATAACCTAGCACCACTGAAATCCTGTGCTCTAATTTAAATTTCAAACAGCACACAGCTCATGGGAATCTATGCCATCCTGCCATGGCCTGTGAAACTCTCCAAAACACTGAAGATTCCCAATAGGCTCTAGAAAAATATTTACTTTATAATGACTGTACCATCAGGACTCTGTTATAGCCAGGATCTGTTTGGAGTGTATTTCCTTGACTATTGCATACTAAAGGACTAACTTCACTTTTATTGTGTAATCAGAGCTATTCAATTTGAAAAAAAAAAAAAGTTTCAAATACACATGTTTCGTGGCAAGAAGCAGCTGAATTTTTTTTGATACTTTAACTTTGAGAGGCTGTATATGAGAGAAACCCATAGGAACTCTTCACTACAATGGGCTGAGGCACAACCCGTAAAGTCTATGGGAGGAGAAAGTCTGCTCCTTATAGTTCTTTGTTTGAGAAAGATTTGTTTCCTAAGTCTGTTAGAAAGTCTGTTTACTAAAAAAGAAAAATAATTATAATTTTCAACTCTCTAGAGTTTATTCAAGATATACAAGATGAGGAATTAACACACTCACTTATCAGCCACAACTGAACTCCAGTAGGTTTATCTAGGGACAGAATAAAGCTTCTAAATAGAAACATCTCTTAAAAAAAATTAAATCAAGTTTTCCCAGTATAGAAATTTATCATTGCAGAAGAAAAGTATGAAAATTTATTTTGTTAAGTAAGAATGACTGAAGGATACCAAAGTAACAAAAAACTACCAGGCATTATCTAGACTGTTTAGAAATCAACAACAGTCATTATTATACTGGAAAATTTGGACAATGGATAATGGAAAATCACACAATTGGCTGAGCTGGAAGGATCACTGAGGACCACTGAGTTCCAACCTCATCCCTGTGAAAAACAGCCCAAGAGCCACACCATGTGTCTGAGAGTGTTGTCCAAAATCATCTTGTGCTCTGTCAGGTTTGGTGCTGTGACCACTGCCCTGGGGAGCCTGTTCCAGTGCCCAGCCACACTCTGGGTGAAAAACCTTTTCCTGATATCCAATTTAAATCTTCCCTGACACAGTCACAATTTCAGGCCATTCCCTGAGTCCTATCACTGATCACCAGAGGGACAAGATCAGTGTCTGCCTCTCCACTTCCTCTTGTGAGGATGTTGAAGACCACAATGAGGTCCCCTCTCAGACTCCTCCAGGTGGAACAGACCAAGTGACCTGAGTAAGTCCTCATAGAGCTTCCCCTCAAGGCCCTTCTCCATCCTCATAGCTCTCCTTTGGGCACTCTTTAGGAGCTTTGTATGCTTCTTATATTGAGGCACCCAAAACTGCTCACAGCACTTGAGGTAAAGCCACACCAGCACAAAGTACAGTAATTTATTGTACTGTATCAGATTTGCATCTGAAAATCTCGTATTTAGTCTCACTTTTAAGCAAACCCAGATACGTGACTCATGTAAATAACATCTGAACATGATTTATTCTGTTTCACCTTAAAAAAATTGCAATTTGTCACTGGGAAACAGCAACATCCTCACATAACTTCAGCTATATTTATGCTTTCCTAGGCAATGTTTTCCTCTGCACAAAGAGTAAATATCAAAGTAAACAAAAAACCTTAAAAGCTACATCAAGTTCATTCTTTTTGCAATAGCATTTCTTCATTTTTGTAATTAATAAGTAGGATATTTCCAATAGCAGACAGCACAAGGGCTGAGTTGAAGACATCTCTGTATTTGCACAAAGCATAGTTTCAAGTATTTGCAGAGAATAAGCAGATTGTATGAAAGATGCATTAATATAGGAATGGAAAAACAGGATCAGCTCTTGACTTTTAGCTAAATCTGAAAATAACTCATCTTTTTGGAACCATTTCTGTTGTAGAAAGCTAAATTATAGGGGCAGTAGGGATATACTATGCTTAACTTTCTAGGGTTTCCAACAATTCTTGTAATCTTCCTAGAAAAAAAAAAACCTAACAACAAACTCTGAAACCTTCACTTTGCCCTATTAAAGTTCATCTGGAAAAGGACTATCAGGAAGAAAAGCATCTTTTAATCTCATTCTTACCTTGGCAGACAGACTTCTGAAAATTTAGCTGTTTATCAGTAATTAATCTACCAAAATAACACAGGAACAAAGAACAGTCAAAAAAAAAAAAAAAGGAGAAGCTTGTGCCACAGATATGGAAAAAAACAGGCTCCAAGATCAGGCAGAGAGTGTCAATTTTGACTTTCTCTGATAATGTCCTGACAACACAATGTATGTCCCAATTTTTTTCCTGATATTTCCCCTTATTTCTATATGTTAGGAGCCTTGCTCCCAATAAATGTAGCAAGGCCCATAGTCCTAGCTGGGCTGTGGTGCTGAAGAAGCAAGGGACACTCCATTTAACAGAGCTGCACATGAAATAATGGGCTTCCTTCTAGGTTTCTTGGTCAAAAAGAACTACTATTATCAAAGTAGCAAAGTGATAAGTCTAAATGTTGCAAAGTGAGAAGCACACCAATGAAAGCTCATTGTTGAAATGAAATCCCAGCTCACTCCCTTGCTCTACAATGCTGACATTCCAATTTTGCTAACATGATCAATTTTCCCCCCAGGAGCTGTGTCTCACTGACAGGACAGAGTGCACAGGGAAGGAGGAGCTGATCACATTTTGACCCTCACTGCTGGGTGAGTGACAATGGCTCATTGCCAGAGTACACATGTGTACACAGCAGCACAAACAGCCAAATCCCAGCACTGAATTATGCAGGACACTAACCACTTCCAAGGAAAAGTGACCACTCCTTTCCCTGTAGTTGAAGATTGGATTCAAAGCAATAATTCAAGATGTACATTCAAATTTAGGAAGAGTGCTTTGTCCATTGTCTTGCTCTTTTTATTTTCCCAGACAATCTTTGAAATAAACTTTCCTTGATTCCTTTCATTCTGTGCACAGGCTTCCCCTTGCATCAAGTAGTAAGTTACGAGCAAATTCAGGTGTCAAAAAATCCTGGTCACAGTTTCAGTCATGCAGGAATTTTCAACCAACTGCGATGAGCAGGCTGATCACTATGGATCATAATTCCTGTGCTGTTCCCCCCTCTCATGGGAAAATAGCTAACTTTGCCTTTATAACACACAATCCACTCCCCATCCCTGCATGTTTCTCAGGTGGCTGAAGTGCTCCCCTCACAGCCTCTGCTTTTCTATGACTATCCCAAAATCTGGGCCAAACCTTCTAGCAGAAGAAATGGATCATTGCTGGCTGAGCTTTCTCAGGATGCTCATCTGCCAGTCAGCTGCTAAATGGGGACTCAAGCAGAAACATAGGCTGGTAAAGACCTTGAAGACCATCAAGTCACAGCAAGTGCTGTTTCTGACCTGCTCTAAGTCTTGTATCCATAAGCTGTGCTGTGATATTGTCCAACTGTATCAATGCTGCATCAATGTTCAGCTCCATCACCCACACCAAGGAAAGCAGGTGGGACTCTACGGAGCAGCAAGGAGGATGACAAGCATTTGTGATGCACAAAGGCAAAGAGCTACTACAGCCCTAAATATGTGCCCAGCCTGCTCCCATTGTGCACTCAAAGCAGGGAGCCATCTCAGAGCCATCAGAATACAGATGTGAAGGCCCAACTTCTATCCAAGGGTTTGCAAGTTAAAACCTTGAAGCTTTGTGGAAGACTTTTTCTTCCTTCCCTTAAACAGACCAGAATAATTTTTAAAGACACTGTTTTTATTGCAGATGTTTGGGCAGGGTTAAGTCGCTCTAAAATCAAGTTTTACAAAGTGAAAGAATTGGAAAAAATGAAAATTTGAATGAAATCAAACTCCTAAATTACTGGTCTTTCATTTCTTTTTCTCTCTCTACCTGTGGCAAAAGAAATATTTTCCTCCTCACAGGCTGATCATTTCTGCAAGAATATACCTCCAGAAACCAACAGAGAAAACAGCAAGAAACAAAGAAATAATTGGCATTAAGACCCATAGACACAAAGAATGTGAATGAAGCATGTGAGGCAGAGCAGTGAGCTTTCTGGAAGAAGCTGTGAATTTCTCTTGTTCTAGTTAATTTAATCCCTGTGTTTAGGCAGTGACCTACTCTGAATCTTTTCTTTCTTCTTTTGAAGCAGACTTTGAACCAGTTCCACTGCAGCAGATAAATGTGTTAATGGAAATCTGCAGTTGTGCCTTAATAGCTGGCAAATCAGTTGACATTTTAGTGCTCTTCTCGGAACACACTGAGATGTCAGGTTTTAATGCTTTATTTTTTTCTCTCACTACTAATTTCTGAACTACAAAGCAGAAATAATTTACCACTGAAAAATGACAGAATGGACCACATTGCACAGGAGACAAGATAAGTATGGAAATATCAACTATGTGCTACTTTACCTTATTCTAACACCTTTCAGCAGACTCCAAAATTAGTTCTACAGCAACATTTTGTTATTTCAGCTGTATAAATTGAGCTCAAATTTTTCTGTCCCAATTGAATAGAAACGAGACTTGTAAGCAAGACTATTAGAATGAATCATGCTAAGATACTATACAACATGAATAATCTTTTTTTTTGGTCTCATCATCCCATTAGCTGATGAAAGCAAGTGAGCAGGATTTGCTCCAGAAAGTGCTAGCTACCATCTATATGGGTCAATTTTCATCTTTGGGTGTTTCCCAGAAGCTCCATAGTAGAATGTTTAGATATCAGCCTCAGAACAAGGATATTTATAAACTAAATTATTCATTAAAATATTTCTGGAGATAATTGTACAGGGGGGAAAGAAAATCTCCTTCAAGGAAAAAAAAAAAAAGCAAATAGCAAGCTGTTATTTCCATCAATTATATCTCCATTATCTTTTAATAACCATGCTTCA